GGAATTCTTAGGTTTCTTCATTGTCCTTATCGAATTGTGATATTAATAAAAGTTATAGGTAGCTAGCCTAAGTCGGATACCTTTAAGGTGTATGGCTTAATAAAAAATAAATAAAAAAAAACATACATTGCACTCATAACCGAGTCGGCACGACTTCTATTTGCAAACATTTTGTACTGTTTCTCCACTTCTATTACTTGTATATCATAATAGACCTTGAGAGCCTTTCTAAACTAAGTATCTAAGTAACAGTCTAGATTTCAATGTAACCTATAATGTACTTTTTATAAAGTTCATACAATCATTGATACAGCTGTGCTATTCTGTGAGAACAAACTTCTTTTTCACCGCGGAATTTGGAGATGTGATTTGTAATTCATATGAAATGTTCTAATTTAAAAGACACCGCGGATTTCGAGATAAAAAGTGAGTTTGTACTTACAGAATAGCAATGCTGATGCGATGTGCTATTTTAACGAAATGCAAATTTTCAACAAAATTTTAACAAAAGGCGATGCAAAGCAAGATATTTTCGATTATATTATTCATATTATAGTACACCAAGTAGTAATTGACGATAAGACATAGTAATAAAAGCAGGTAGCGATATTAACATAAAGAAGATAGTTCAATAAATTTTGGTTACAAATTTAACTTTAAGAATACAAAGCCAAATCAAATTTGATAAAGATCTTTTAATAAATAAACTATTAGTTAAACTACATAAAAATAACTACTTATATATCTAAATCCGCTTAAGAGAATGGCGACGGCTTAACCTTTCACTTTGAGACAGACTTACAAATAGTGAATTCAATCAAGTAATAATAGTTCAATGAATGCATTATTTTAAAGTTTGTTTCTAAGATAGGTACTTTAATATTGAGTTTATAATATAGATATATAAATAATCCGCATGAATCAAAGGTCGAAATGTGTAACTTCGCTTCCGACGATCTCTTCCATTTTCATTTTACGAAGAAGAGATACGTTATGTCGCATCGACATTATTCTCTAGCTTTGAAGAAGTCCGCGAAAGGAATTAAAGTTAGTAGATCAGTAAGAGGATTCAGTAAAATTAAATCTCACTCAAGAGCTTCTCTAGTTCAAACTTTTGACCTAAGTAGATTCTTCGTTAGACAGTTACAGGGCCAGAGGGCCAAATTGTCGCAATGACAAACAAAAAATTATCGTAAACCGAAATTGAGATCACACGTTACAGAATCGACGTGCTAATTTGTAAGGGAGGTGAAACATACGTTAAAAAAAAGTTTAAAGACTATTTTTTGGCGCGAAAACAAAACTTAAGTTAACAGAGAATATTGGAAGGAATTTATAAAAAAAATTGCTGGCAACCACAAATATAACATATTCCTAAAAAAATGGTGTGCTTTTATGAAATATGTGTTTTGTTCTGTAGTATGGTATGAAAAGCTACGCCATCGGTTAGCAAATCTACGGCGGGAGACCGTTGCAAGAAACTCAGCAAGGGCTGTTTTTTTCTTCCTGTATTTAAACAGAGTCTTCAATTTGAAAAATGACTTCAATATGAGGTAACTCATGAAGTCACTTTCCATTACAAATGTAATAATATTAAAATTATGACTATAAAATAAATAAATATAAAAAACTGGTTTAACAAACTTTAGGAATGCTGTGTCCTACTGTTTAGGCATAAAAAAATGAAAATGAAAAATGTATGAAAAAAAAATGAAAAATGAGTTTCATATTTGTTTCTTAGGTTTTCACGCACATCACTCATTAAATAAAACTAGTTTTTACGGGTTAATGCACGAAATTTTATTTATTTATTGACGTTTTGTAGCCTTTACAGGCTACGTTTCTGTAAAGTCTACGAAACGTCGATAAATAAATAAAGTTTCGTGCATTAACCCGTAAAAACTAGTTTTATTTAAATAAGTTTCACTTTAAAGTATTACGTTGACGGAATATCGACGCGGCACGGACGGCAAACAAATCCAGTCCTATTCATAAGTAACTCTGACATGACAACTGTTCGCGAAATTCGGCGTTCTTCCTGGACTGGGGTCGCACCCTCGCACAGAGCTCCCCTACCTGCGAATGCAGTATTGATTAACACCACTTCGTTGCATTCAAAATTGAATGTAGTTACACATTTCCTGGCAAACTCTGTGGTAATTTTATGAGAATTATTGCGAATAAACTTGACGCCGAATATTAAATGCGGCACACGACAATAAATTTAAATTAACGTAGTATTTAAATATAATTAGTTATCTCAATAATTTAGACGGATTACATGGATGAGTTTAAAATAAATTAGTCTTGTAGGAGTTCTAAAATAATATCTAACTAAAAAAAAATAAAAATATTTGCTGCAAATGAACATACTTTGTTCATTTGCAGCAAATATTTTTATTTTTTTTTACATCACACACCAATTAGCCTAGCCCCAAAGTAAGCACTATAAGGCTTGTGTTATGGTATACTAGGGTACAATACATATACTGTACATGAATATAACTATATTTATATAGAAAATACATATTAAACATCCATGACTGGAGTACAAAAGCTCGTATTCATCACACAAACATCTGCCCCCACTAGGATTTGAACCCAGGACCTCTCGAGTCGGCGACACCATGAAACCCGGCGTACAAACCACGGAGTTCATCAAATTTGATAGATCATTTTAGTTTAATTATATTACTTTACATATTATGTGTATTTTAATCCATTTTTTTTTGTATTGTTAGTATTTAATAATTCTTATTATTGAAAACTTTCACATCTAACATCTATAGTCAAAAATTCGAAACAAACAAATAATAACGAAAATCCTTTTTTGATATATGCTCTAAGGTTTTAGTTTAGGTCACGCTCTAATCCTTTTTTGATATATGCTCTAAGGTTTTAAAGTCATACTCTAAACTTTTTTTTTACAAGCTGTCGAACCAAAAATATCCCGATTTCAAAATTTTAAATACTGTCACCAGGGTACCGTGCTGTTAATGCTTAAAATTAAACGCAAGCAAGGTCAAGTGTATTGACGTCACAACAATAGAGAACGCATAGAACTAATTAGATATTTCCTGCTTCTTCCTGTCGCCAAAAACAATGGTCAGAAATATTAAACGAAAACATTATTTCAATTATTTCAAAGATCTATACCACATAACTATTTATTGTATTCCAAGTCTATTATATAATACAAATATTTTAAACTTTAGATAAAATTTTCAGGGAATATTGACGACGCAGCCTGAAAAGCATGCGAAACATTAAAAATAAAAAAAATAAGTGCATCTATACCGTTGAAACTTGTTTTATTTTTGCTACTCAATATTTTTTCGACTCTAGTGATTACAAGGGCAAATCTCAGAATTTTTGTTTTTTTTTCTAGTTATATTTGCTTTAGATTTAAACATCAAGCAGTTACATGCTTAAAAAAATATAATTTTATATTTTTCCATTCGACCACGACTGTACCAATTACCATATTATTTTTAATAACTTATATATAATTATTATTCTCTTATGAAGCTTTAAACAATCCAAAATGTTACTAATGTTATAAATTCATGCCGTAATTCCCAAACCAATTTCACTGATTTTTTTTTCATTGAAATAAATAATTATCGAAGATTACTTATTGCCGCAGAAATAAAGCTATTAATATGGGATTAAAGTTCGTATAGGGGACCAGTTATTCAACTCTGAGGATTGCCTCGGGCATTCTTTAGTAATGTATATTTATTACTGTGCACGTGGTTGCATGGAGCCAAAACCAAAACAGAGGTCAAAATTCTAACAAAAGAACTCATTTCCATAACATGCTCACTCACACATCTCACTGTTATTTGTGACGATTTTATTTCGGTTTATACAATGAAACACGATTCATATATCGTAAGGGGTTTTCCAATTCAAGTTTTTTTTTTCGATGCTTAAAACAATATCTTGACATAGCATCCGCTCTCGTGAGACCATACAGCGGCTCAGACAGACAGAAAAAACGTAGTCAACAGTAAAAGAAAAAAAAACAAACAGGTGACTTTAAAAACAGTAGAGCATCTTAGCGGATTTTCTTCTGGAGTTTGAGTCCAAAACAGCCCTTGCTGAGTTTTTTGCCGGTTCTTCTCAGTACAAGGTCTCCCGCCGTAGATTTACGAACCGATGGCGTAGCTTCTAGACATTCATGAGTGCTTGTAACAGCCTAAACTGAATAAATGATTTTGATTATGATTAGTATCTGGGATAGTAAGTTCCATCTTAAGACAGGGATCAACATTAAATTTAAGCGGTGTTGTGTTTCTGTTGAGTGTAAAAGTTCCAGGATCTCTCGCAGTAGGGGATTGGGTTAATTTTTTTTTCGTTAAATAAATGGTCAATGAATACCACTTGTTCATGCTTTCGGACTACATCGACGTTAACAGGGTTTATTTTAGGTTATTATGTATTATTATTGATTTAATATTATTTTTATTTATGATTTATGGTTTCATTTAAATCTGTGTGTTTATTTATAATTTATGTATAAATATATATAAGATTGGCAGGTTAGCAAGATGAGGATTGCTGAAGCGGCAAATTTTTCTACCGCACTAGTCATTTTCACAACTGCAAACCACTTCACCAGGTTAAGTGCGAAAGATTTAAAAACTGATTGAGGACAACCTCAATGTCGATAATTTTGGATAATTATTGCGTACATAAAAACAAATACGACCTTTGAATTGCAATAGATACCGAAAGATAAATGAGTTGTATTAGACTGCTAGAAATCTAGTCCGTCTATTTGCCCCAACACTCTTCTTTAAACGTAGACAAATCTAACTGCAAGATGTCTATATGTGCCATAGTATGGGCAACGACATTCAGCCTTTATTTCGAACGCTGATAAGTTTCTTGGTATGAAAAAATATTACTATTCAAAAAAGCTTTCCGTGACAGATAAGGGAATTTTTGAATAAAGTATATTTTCATTTCATTAATTTCGAACGTTTTTCTCTTTCAGACCTTCACAGCATGGTGCAACAGCCACCTGAGGAAGGCCGGCACCGGCATCGAGAACATCGACGAGGACTTTCGCAATGGACTGAAGTTGATGCTGTTACTGGAAGTGATCTCGGGCGAGACTCTGCCCAAGCCGGACCGCGGCAAGATGCGCTTCCACAAGATCGCCAACGTCAACAAGGCGCTCGACTTCATCGCTTCCAAAGGCAAGTTAAACATTTTGTACTATAAAAACGGACACGTGCTGTTTTACATGCGATAGAAGTGAAAACTTTGGAAAAATAAATAATAGCTTAATAAAAGAAAAAATATCGATTAAAAAAAATAAACCGATCGATCCACCGATCATTTGGTGTCGACCCCAAGACCGTTACCGTTCGACTATCTGTCTCTTACAGAGAGTTACAAAATTACGGATACCTTGTGTCAAATACTGTCGCTTTTTCGTTTCATCGAGTTTCAAATCACAACGGTGCTAAAGAAGTTTACACTTAAAAAATCAGCGTTCAGCGCTGGTGGTGGCATGGTTATGTCATCCTGCAATTGGTTAAACCGATAGTACACAGAGTCAATACCTGTTTTTTTTTTTTAACACACACCAATTAGCCTAGCCCCAAAGTAAGCACTATAAGGCTTGTGTTATGGGATGCTAGGGTAACGAATAGAATACATATACTGTACATATTTAAGTGTTTATAAAGAAATACATATTAAACATCCATGACTGCAGTACAAATGCTCGTATTCATCGCACAAACATCTGCCCCCACCGGGATTTGAACCCGGGACCTCTCGAGTCGGCGACACCATGAAACCCGGCGTACAAACCACTCGACCACGGAGGTCGTCAAACACATATATTTATATTCGCCATCTACTTACAGCGTTTGTAAAATTTGTAACTATTTGAAGGATTCATTGTCGTAATAGACGATATCCTACCATCGAGATATAATATAATATATATTAATATTTTCCACTTCGGCGTTTTAAACTATTGAAGCGTTGCAAAATCTTTATATCTATCACCTCAGTTGTGGCAGATTTCTTAATTTTGTATTTAAAATCAATCCACGTTTTACAACTGCACCAGAATATGAAGTAACGATAGTATTACCGCACAGATGTATTGTTTTTAGCTTCTATAGCCAAGAGTGGTGTGTGCTCGACGTGACATTATCACCGTATCTGAGATGCCAGTTTCATATTGAAAAGTAGCTTTTCTTTATTTCAAGCTTCTTTGTTTGATGATCGATGTGGTCGTTGTTGCCGTCCATTGCTTTCAATGTTAAATCTATTCTAACTCACCTTAATATCACAGCAATTTAGGTACGTGATATTGTCACATCTGTTTTTCTAAGAACCTGTAAGATCTCATGTAAGTCTACTTATAGGAGTGATGACGTGCATTTTAAATGTCGATAGAATAAAATCTCTAAATCAAATTCTACCTTCGTTGGGAATAATCTGGAATTCAAACAATATAAAAATGATCTTCTCTTAAGTTTTTAGTGATTTGGGATCTCAAAATTAAAGAGGTCGATTGTATTATTTCAGGAGTAAAATTGGTGTCGATTGGTGCCGAAGAAATCGTAGATGGCAACTTGAAGATGACTCTGGGTATGATCTGGACGATCATTCTCCGTTTCGCCATCCAAGACATCTCAGTTGAAGAAATGACAGCTAAGGTTCGTATTCTATATTCATCCTGAGTGCAGAACAGGCTTGATTTTGTTATTATTAAATCTTTACTAATACGATGCTTGTCGTATAAATTTCCTATTATAGTACCGATAACTTCTATTGACTTAAGTAGGAACACTGTACGTGTTTGTTTATAAGGTGGCTTCCAGAGTTCAAACGATCGAATTGATTTGCCGATTATGGCGTTGTTAATAGCCTTCACATCCTTTAGTGGTTTACAAACAATGAAGTCGTATTCCTTAATTAGATAAAAAACATTAAAGAAGACGTTATCTCGATAAAAACTCGATAAATCTATATACAATGCTGATTATTTTATTCAATTATCATCAGCATTGTACTTATTTACCAACTCTCCACTAGAGTCACACTTTATCTCAATGGTACTTAAATTAGGTACATAGAGACGATATGTTCCAAATACATTAATTCGATTATTCCAACTTGTTTCAAGATTTAAAAACTTGTTGACACCTTGTCCTTAATCTCGATAATTTTGGGTACTACAAAAAGTTTTATCAAAACTTTTCACGTCCACAGGAAGGTCTCCTTCTTTGGTGTCAACGCAAGACTGCCCCATACAAGAATGTGAACGTGCAGAACTTCCACTTGTCGTTCAAGGACGGTCTGGCCTTCTGCGCCCTCATCCACAGGCACAGGCCCGACCTCATCGACTACAGCAAACTGTCGAAGGACAACCCTCTGGAGAACTTGAACACTGCCTTCGACGTCGCCGAGAAGTATCTTGACATCCCACGCATGTTGGACCCCGACGGTGAGTTAGCAACCATATCTGTTGTAAGAGGTTCACTGTTTTTTGTTTTTCAAGTTTTTTGTCGCGAACAAACTGAATGATATCTAGGAAACCCGTAGCCAAATCCTTGATGCCTAGCAAATTATGATTGGAAACAGCGGGTTCTGTCACCTGTCAGATGAATGTGAAAATAGTACATTGTTGAAATAATCTCGGATCTCGATGGTTGTAGTAATGTAATTGTTTTTCGTTTGCATCCCAGTTTTGTTTTAAGATCATTGATGCATTATTATTTCTTTATTTATCTTCAACTAAGAAAGTTGATGTATAAGCATCTTATCATTTTAATTTTAAATAACAAAATAAATCTAAATCAAAGTAAATTACTGTTAATAGTGTTTCTTTATGATGAAAATTAATTGAAGTGGTCTATCCACTTCTTCTAGGTAGATATAAAACATACATTTTGTATACGGCACGATAACAAAAGAAGTTGCTAAATCAGTGTTGAAATAAATATTGCAGACCTAATTAACACACCAAAGCCGGACGAGCGTGCCATAATGACATACGTGTCGTGTTACTACCACGCGTTCCAGGGCGCGCAGCAGGTATCGATATAAAGATATGGATGGTTGATAGCCTTCAACCCGTTTGACTCCAAAGCCCTAACGCCAGGCCTTTGTGTACCACTCATAGCATGTATTTTAAGAGCTTTGCTGGCTGGATACATTATCCATATTTTATTCTCTTCTACATCTAACAAAAAGTTTTAAAGCTTATTTAATACGTTTCTTAAGCTGTTTCCTTAAGTAAAGATTTGGTTCCAATAAATTGTATCTTTCCGTATCTTGGTCTTTGAGACTTTGGAATTCCCAGTATGGCTTTGATGCTTTAAAGATGTATCCAGCTACAAATATGTATGTTTATTTTGCCAATATTCAATATCATTCAATTTCTAAATTAGTTTGAGATTTTTAAATTGTAATAAGGATATTGACGTGTTGTTTTCCAGCAGCGTTGGCTCCTGAGATATCAAATCTGTTTTTTTTCGATGTTGTAACATTAAACCATTTGTTTTTGTTGAAGCTTTATTTTATGTCATTAACTGTTGATTTTATATTGTTTGTAATAAACGCTAGGAATGCTTGTGTTTTTATAACTAAAGTCCCATTCATTGCTATAACTTCACATTGTCACCCATACTCTCATACACCATACAAAAATATAATTTCAAATATCTGACATGACTACTCCTCCACACAAAATCGTCGGAAGAATCTTATTCTTCTTAATTAGTAGTCTTATGTAAATCTTATAGATATTAACGGGATTGTTACCATGTACCTTGTTTTTATGAGTCTCCGATATTTCGGCACTGTTGCAAGCGCCATGATCACGGAGTAACCCTTATGTAAATCTATTAAAACTTCATTTGTATTTTTTTTAAGTATTTAAAAATAACGTAAAAACTCCATATTCTATGAAAAATCACTAAAACATAAAAAGAAACAAAACACAAACTCTCATATCATTTGTGGCTTAGAAGACTAAAATAGTGGTAACCTTTAAATTCAAATAGTCAATCTATGTGGTACTTTTTTCTACCCCTACTAAACTCCCGATTCAAACTCTCCAACTGAGTGTTGGGGAAAACTCCTTTCTTCTTTCTCAATGGCTCAGCTGTGCTCCCAGCGCAATACTACCGAATTCTCCCCCCCCCCCCCCCATTATTAGCAACGTAATAAAAACACAAGTCATCCATAAACATTATGACCGCATGGCACTAACTTACCCGCTCGCGTGTGGCTAGATCTGCAGAACACAGCGATGCCGGACGAGCGCGCCGTCATGACTTACGTGTCGTCCTACTACCACTGCTTCTCTGGCGCGCAGAAGGTCTGTATCTGTACTAACAGTCGCATTAGGGTGTTACCACACCAATCGATCGATCCTCAATCGACGGCATCGATCGACTATCCCTCAGATTCGAGTGGTCTAGAGGCTCCAGACGGAGAGGAACTCCCCCTGTGGGGTGATGCCATCCGCCTGGAATACCTGTAGAGGCACTCGACAATTCTCGGCTTGAGGTCCCCTTAGGATCTCACTGTCCCCAAACCCGGTGACGGTGTAAAGGTCATCTGCGATCAACAGCATACACACCCAAAAAAAAAATCGATCGATGTTAGACATGAAATTTGTCAAAGTCGATCCGATGGTTTTTACATCAATTAAAGCTACCAGATTTTGATTGGCGTTGAACAATGCCGTCGATCGATAGATTTTTCTGGTAACACTCCTAAAGTCCGATTCAAACTTTAAAGCGTTTGTGAAGTTAGCAGCGAGCGCAATTATGCGCAGTTTCAGTTCAGTAATTTTGAATCGCACTCTCTCTCTATTTACTTCTTCGTCATCACAGTTTAGGGAATTATTCATCCAGGCAGTCCAATCTAGTGATAAAATTCTGCAAGTCATTCTTTGAATAGATTACCTTCTTGTCTGCGAAATATAATTAAAGCTTCGTTGGATCTCTGTATGACATAATATCCGTATTCTGTAATTATTTTCTTATGCTTAACTTTAAACTCAATGCTTTAAGTGCATCTCACAGTTTGAAAGTGGCGTGTTACGAATTAAAAGTTAGGTTAGATTAGATGCGGTTAGGTTAGACAATGATTTGCACATGTACCCTCTTTTTAATAAACGAATAATGAGTTTAGACTAATTTCGCCATGTTTTGTTTATATCACTCAAATGACATTTGTAATTCAATGAACAGAGACAGAACATGGAGTAACAAATCCAAGCTTAGTCTTCATTTATGAAAAAATAAGTCAAAACTCCCCGTCTTGGCACAAAAGGAGTTGACGAAACTTTCACATTGAAAATAGTCTTTGGTAAATTCCTGAATAATTGAGACTCGATTCTTGATTAATTTGAGCTTCATCGTTGTAGGTATTTCGTTAAATATTCTGTGCATTTTTTCTTAATCTTACATATTTCAAAATTAGTTAAAACGATAGCAACTGACACAAATATGCAGGTATCTAAAAATTCTACAAGTTAAAGGTTTCTTAAGCTCAACTCGATGTAATATTCTTTCTGCACTTTACGCTTACTTAAAATAATTAGGCACTAAGTTCTCGTTGCTGCTTACTGCATCGCTGATTGCATTGTTAATAAAATAAATATTTAAAATAGATTATTATCAATAAGTATTCTAATGAATTTTATTGTAATCGCAGGCTGAAACCGCCGCGAATCGCATCTGCAAAGTTCTCAAGGTCAACCAGGAGAACGAGCGCCTCATGGAGGAGTACGAACGTCTGGCCAGCGATGTAAGTATCTAACTAGTGCATCAGAAACGTAGCTAGGGCATTGTGGGGCAATGCCCGACCTTAAAGTACCATTGACCTACTTTAAACTGGGGCATCACGCCCTCCCTACTTATGCCCTATATCTGTAATTACCGCTGCTCTATCACATTAATATTATTATAAAGGCAAAAGTTTGTAAGAGTGTGAGAGTTTATGTTTGTTACTTCTTGACATCGGCTGGAGCGATTTTAATAAAATTTGGTATGAAGTTAGCACATAGGCTACGTTTTACTGCGGGAAAATATACCTAATAAACCGCGGGTAACACCGCGGGTCACAGCTAGTCTTAAATATTACTCTGGCTACGGCCCTGTAATGCATCATATACTAACTGAGTAGGTAATCAATTTGGTTTAAGAATTTACAAACTAGTCTGTAACAGCATCTAGAAATAAGTAAAGAATTTACGATTGGCTTACATACCTATATGTTTTCAAATAAACTGCACTAGTAAGCACTTTCTGGTTCGTTTAGATACCTTAGGTGCAATATTTGTACAAAATCCGTTGTTTCTTACCTTTCACTGTGTTTCTCATCAGCTTCTGGACTGGATTCGCCGCACAATGCCGTGGCTGAACAGCCGCCAGACGGACAACTCTCTAGCCGGCTGCCAGAAGAAGCTAGAAGACTACCGCACTTACCGGCGCAAGCACAAACCGCCGCGCGTCGAGCAGAAGGCCAAGCTCGAGACCAACTTTAACACCTTACAGACGAAACTGCGTCTGAGCAACCGCCCCGCCTATATGCCCACTGAAGGCAAGATGGTCTCTGTAAGTATGCCCACACACCATCGAAATATTTCTCCTGTCCTGTTATTGATATAGGCGTAATTAGCTAGGGATATACAGAAGGCCAAGCTCGAGGCCAACTTTAACACCTTACAGACGAAACTGCGTCTGAGCAACCGCCCCGCCTATATGCCCACTGAAGGCAAGATGGTCTCTGTAAGTATGCCCACACATCTTCGAAACATTTCCCCTGTCCTGTTATTGATATAGGCGTAACTAGCTAGGGATATACAAAAGGCCAAACTCGAGGCCAATTTTAACACCTTAAAGACGAAACTGCGTCTGAGCAACCGCCCCGCCTATATGCCCACTATAGGCAAGATGGTCCCAGTAAGTATGCCCACATATCTTCGAAACATTTCTCCTTTCCCGTCATTGATAAAGGCGTAACTAGCTAGGGATATACAAAAGGCCAAACTCGAGGCCAATTTAAACACCTTACAGACGAAACTGCGTCTGAGCAACCACCCCGCCTATATGCCCACTGAAGGCAAGATGGTCTCTGAAGTATACCGACACTTCTTCGAAACACTTACCAATTTCCTCGTTAATATTATTACATTTACTCTATCTACGTGACTCTCCCCAAGGGGAGTTACCATGTGCCTAGAAAACTACTAGAGTCACTCGTAAATTCCTGGTTCAGGGTCCCCAAAAGATCTCGTCACCTCCAATCCCTTTCTAAAATCGCATATCTTCTCTTCGTCTTTTGCTAATTATATTTTTAATAAAATGGATTTTTACTTAACCAACATCTATTCAACGTGATAAAACTGCTCTGCTCCTAATTCCCAGGACATCGCTGGAGCGTGGAAAGGCCTCGAGATCGCCGAGAAGGCGTTCGAGGAGTGGCTGCTCAGCGAGATGATGCGCCTGGAGCGGCTCGAATACCTCGCTCAGAAGTTCAAGCACAAAGCCGACATCCACGAAGACTGGACCAGAGGTGAGGGCGGGTCATTAGTTTGTCTCGAGAAATTCTTTTTACCACGAAGACATTGTTTTACTCTACAAAATATTACTTTTATAATTCGTTCAAGTCTAACTTTTTTGGGTTCCATTACAACTAAACTGAGTGAAAAGGAACGAAAAGCCTTTTTTTCGTGAATATAATAATAATTTACGTAGATTTTTTTTTGCCGTCCAAACTTTTTGAGACACAAGAAAAAAAATTACTGCTTTTTTGATAATACCAACATTTGTATCATGTATACTTGCTTTTTAGTTCTGTGACAATTAATTGAAATAAAGTCGTGAACATATCGAGTTGCTTTTGCTAGGGGTATATTAATTTCATTTCAAATTAAATAAGAAATATTTACAATAAAAGTGTACAGAAATGATGAGACGTTGACTTTTTGTTTTGTTGACACCCCAAATATTTGAAAAGTATATTTTAAATATATAATGGATCGTCTAGCGTTTGATGGTGACATTTAAAAATTATCTCTGAACTTATTTTTTAACTTGACGACTCTGTACATAACAATTCAGGGAGAAAAAAACAGCCCTTGCTGAGTTGCTTGCCGGTTCTTCTCAGTACAAGTCTCCCGCCGTAGTTTTGCGAACCGATAGCGTAGCTTCATGACCTTCACTAGTGCTTGTAACAGCCTAGACTAAATAAATGATTTTTGATTTTGATGGTTGCCATAAAAAAAACAGAAATATTGTGAAACTTTTTAATGACATCGGCAAATCGCGTCTCCAGGCAAGGAAGAGATGCTGCAATCGCAAGACTTCCGCCAGTGCAAGCTGAACGACATCAAGGCGCTGAAGAAGAAGCACGAAGCCTTCGAGTCGGATCTGGCAGCGCACCAGGACCGCGTCGAGCAGATCGCCGCCATCGCGCAGGAACTCAAGTTAGTACCGTCAATACAATAAAATACAAAATTTTATTACGAAAAACCCTGTCTGTGAGATGGCAAGTTTCTGTTACAGCGCCATGTTCTACAGATATCATAATACAGACGAGACGATAACATATCATATAGTTGTGCTAAGTGTCGCCGCACACGGGCCACCGACCACAACCACAAAACGCCGCCACCGGCATACTTCATGTAGTTTTCATACATTTTATATGGACTCGCCACACACGGTACGCCGGTGGCCGCCACACGCTACAAATCGTCGTTGCTCGCTTCTTGTGGCCCGCACCGGCCACTTAATGCGCCGATACAAAATGCTGCCACCCGTCAGTCGCGCGATTCCCTACCCCTCTTTATCCCTTACCTTAGTCGGCCGCTGTCGCGCGCTTCAGCCACTTTAGTAGCCGCTTCTAGCTTCGCGTGGCGGCCTTTGTGGCTGTGGCGTGTGGCCCGTGTCATCTGTGCGACGAAGCTTCGGGTGGCTTTGGTACGAATTGCGCTAAAAATAAGCGTCCAAAATTTGAATTAGTTCTGTCGTAATGAATTAGCGTACGTCTATAGACGCGATAGCTTGACTGGCGTTATATTGATACGCTAAAAGATTAGTGGAAAACGAAAATTTTGAATGTGCACCTTAAGGAGCGTATTAAATTGAAGGTTCTAACGCTAATTTTAGGTATAGGATAAGCCTTATGGTTATCAAGGAAATCTATTTATATAAAACTCAAAGGTGACTGACTGACTGACAAAGTGATCTATCAACGCACAGCCCAAACCACTGGACGGATCGGGCTGAAATTTGGCATGCAGGTAGATGTTATGACGTAGGCATTCGCTAAGAAAGGGTTGATCAGTCCCCCAAAGGGATCAAATAGGGAATGAAAGTTTGTATGAAACTTTGTCAATTTTAAACCGATCGGGCTGAGACTTTACATGCAGGTATAAGAAGAATCATAGATGAATGTCATTGTGTATAATACAAGCCTGAGAACAAAAACTGTAGTCTACACTTCAGCTCTACACCGAAGCGAAGCGAGAGCGGGCCGCTAGTTTAACAATATTACCCAACCTGCCGGGTGACCCTATATTTAATTCATTTATTTCAGCCATTTAGCCACATCAATTACATAAAAACAAGAATAATAATAATAGCAGCCTACAAATTACGAATTCGAAAACAAAATATTTAAAATTAGGTACATAATTGATTGAAATAAATACAAAATTCAACAAAAAATAACTAAATTATATTAATAAAATTAAAAATTATTACATAATTATGTTATTTAATTTTATTAATTTCTATAAGAACAGTTGTCCACCTATAGGACACTCGGACCTACCCCTTACAACCTTCAAGATGCTGCTCAAACTGTCATCATGAGAGAAGTAATTTTTTGCGCTTTATTTCATAGAAATCCTGAAAGCCTTATAATTATTATATATATTATAACTCATCCATAGGCTGCCAGTGTAAAAAAGATTGGCAGATAGCTTTAAAAACATTATAAAACTACTAGCTGTGCCCGCGGTGTTACCCGCGGTTTATTAGGGATACTTTCCCGCAGTAAAACGTAGACTATGTGTTAATCCAGGGTATCAGCTAACTCCATGCCAAATTTTATTTAAATCGCTCCAGCCTTTTAGACGTGAAGAAGTAACAAACATATACACTCACACACGCACAAACTTTCGCCTTTATAATATTAATTTGTTATTTAAAGTGTTTGTGTTTGTTATCCCCACCAGCACTCTAGAGTACCACGAGGTAGGCGCCGTGAACGCTCGTTGTCAACGCATCTGCGGCCAGTGGGACCGCCTCGGGGCGCTCACGCAGCGCCGCCGCCTCGCCTTGGACGACGCCGAGAGGGTGCTGGAACAAATAGACCTGCACCACCTGGAGTTCGCCAAGAGGGCCGCGCCCTTCAACAACTGGTGAGTGTGTGTGAACTGGTGAGACTGTGTGATAGTGATGCTGAGGGTGCTGGAGCAAATAGACCTGCACCACCTGGAGTTCGCCAAGAGGGCCGCGCCCTTCAATAACTGGTGAGTTTGTGTGAACTGGTGAGACTGTGTGATAGTGTCGCTGAGGGTGCTGGAGCAAACAGACCTGCACCACCTGGAGTTCGCCAAGAGGGCCGCGCCCTTCAACAACTGGTGAGTGTGTGTGAACTGGTGAGGCTGTGTGATAGTGACGCTGAGGGTGCTGGAGCAAATAGACCTGCACCACCTGGAGTTCTCCAAGAGGGCCGCGCCCTTCAACAACTGGTTAGTTTGTGTGAACTGGTGAGACTGTGTGATGGTGATGCTGAGGGTGCTGGAGCAAATAGACCTGCACCACCTGGAGTTCGCCAAGAAGGCCGCGCCCTTCAACAACTGGTGAGTTTGTGTGTACTGTTGAGACTGTGTGATAGTGATGCTGAGGGTGCTGGAGCAAATAGACCTGCACCACCTGGAGTTCGCCAAGAGGGCCGCGCCCTTCAATAACTGGTGAGTTTGTGTGAACTGGTGAGACTGTGTGACAGTGTCGCTGAGGGTGCTGGAGCAAATAGACCTGCACCACCTGGAGTTCGCCAAGAGGGCCGCGCCATCCAACAACTGGTGAGTTTGTGGGAACTGGTGAGACTGTGTGATAATGATGCTGAGGGTGCTGGAGCAAATAGACCTGCACCACCTGGAGTTCGCCAAGAGGGCCGCGCTCTACCTATAGATATAGGATGTATAGACACTAGACAGAGTACCTATCGCAAGTGTTCCAAAATATAATTGTGCATGTGTGCACGCGCTGTTTTATTAGGAGTGATTGTCAAGATCCCATCATCAAGTTGGCTCTTACTTTATTGGAACAAAGGTATACCATGTTGCGTCTCTTTCTACCTTCTAGAATTGTCGTAAGGTCATGATATCTCTTTGTCTCACTCTGTCAGTGTTTAAATACTAAGTCTATGAGAGTACCACGAGGTAGGCGCTGTGAACGCCTCCAGCCAACGCATCTGCACAAACTGCCAATACATTCTACTTGATAATCAAATAGTAAATTAGGGAACGTACCCATACTACGTGACCAATTTTACCTCGCCTTCCCCCTGAACGAGGCACATATTGGTATGTTGTCTTATATAAAATCAACTTGTAACGCGTCCAATACAATAACGCGTTCAGGATGCTGATGGGGCTGCCGCGATATTGTAGTGCATGAACGATGTTTGCTGACTCCCATGGTGACGATTACTACGCTATTATGCGCAAAAAAGTAGCGTCACTGATGCGCAGAGCCAAGATGCTGTTAGAGCTACAGCATCTTGGCTGTCATAGCACTCAAATTGGAGAGTCCGTTGTGGAGACATTGGGTACAATCTCATGTCTCCCCATGTATTAAATATAGAAAATAGTTTAAAAATAGAATAGGGGTGATTACGGGGTACAGTAAACGAAATTCTATTTAGTCCGTCAGTTAGATGATCAAAAAATATTGGACATGTATTTTTTCTTTGGACAATCAACCAAAAAATGACAAAGTTATAGCGCGTCAAAGTTTGGGAGTAGGGGCTCGTGACGTCACTTTTGAGTGAATTTTCACTTATAAGTGTACTCAAACGTGACGTCATGCGACTTTTCAAATCAATATATCTCTGCAATGTTGATATTATGAAATATAATAAATGAAAAAAGAAAAAATACGTGTCCAATACTTTTTGATAATCTACCTTATAAACGAAGAAAAAAAAATAGTCATCATCCCTATTGTACTAACATAGTTTCTAAGTATCTCTTATCTATTAGACAAGTCCGCCTGTCTGTGGTGCTGTTTCAACGGCCAAACTGTAAGAGATAGATAAAGAGAGTATTTAAGTTATAAGTTAAGAATAGTCTGATAAGACTACAAACCGGATTTGAGTAACGTAGCACTTCCGGTTTTCGAGAAATCGCGAATTTCAAACGAAACCACATAAAATCTCCGAAGTTCTCAATTAATTAAATACATTTTTTTTTAAATCAGGTTTTGGTGAACATTTGGTTAACTGGTTTACTAGTTAATATTACTAACCCTCTATGGACTATACGGTCTGAAATAAATGATTATTATTAAAACTCCTCTATCTCATCAATCATTATCACTACGTTCTCTCTTCGCAGGCTGGACGGCACCCGCGAGGATCTGGTCGACATGTTCATCGTCCACACCATCGAAGAAATTTCCGGCCTCATGGACGCGCACTCGCGCTTCAAGGCCACTCTCGGAGAGGCCGACAAGGAATACCAGGTATATTGTATGAATACATTATCATCAGCCTATTAATATCCCACTGCTGGGGCACAGGCCTTCTCTATGGATGGAATCCCTATTCCATCCATAGAGAAATCATAATGATATATAAATCATAAATAATCATAATAATAACACTACACAAAAATAGTCTTTGTCACAGATTACACAACTTCCGTTTAAATGTTGACAAAGTATCACTAGGCATCATCATCATCATCATCAGCCTATAAATGTCCCACTGCTGGGGCACAGGCCTTCTCTATAGATGAAATAAGGAGATTGAGCCATGACCAACCACGCGGGCCCAGTGCGGATTGATGGGTGCTAACGCCTGCAGATGCAGCCGGGAACAACGGCTTAACGTGCCTTCCGAAGCACGGAGGAACTCGAGATAGAAGATTTTTGGTCACCCATCCAATGACCGACCACTGCGAAAGTTGCTTAACTTCAACTATCGCAGCCGAACGTGCTAACCACCTGCGCCATCGAGCTCCTCAATACAGCACCATTTATATATGACATGAGACTGGTGCATATGAGCAACAGGTCCTAACTTTGTGCTTTATCAAGGACCTAATGTGTGAGGTTGTCCAATATTTATATATATGTATTTTTAACGAGATCTATTATATGTTTTCAGGCAATAGTGAATCTCGTACACCAAGTGGAGTCTATCGTGAAGCAGCACCAGATCCCCGGAGGTCTGGAGAACCCCTACACCACCCTCACAGCCCACGTGAGTTGGAATGCCATAATTATTTGTAACGCTTACTAGATACCTCGGTGTGCATCGTAAATTATAACTCTTCCTTCGCTAAAATGGCTGAAACGTCAAACGTTTGACAGGAAAGTAGGCAGAACAGTTTATAAACATGGCAAAATTTAACTATGTTCCTCGCATTTTTTCTATATTTTCTCACCGCATACAGCGACGGTGACTTCTTAGTCGTTTTTTTTTTATTTAATATTAATGTGTTTTTTTTTTATTTTATGAATTCAATTTACTAACACTAAATTTTTAATCATCATTGTTACTAACCATTATGATGAATGATGAATAATATGAAATAAATGTTATTATTATTAATATTAAACCGTCCCTAGTCTACGACAAACATTTGAAAACCAAAATCAGCTAAATCGGCCCAGCCGTCTCGAGTTTAAGCGAGACAAACGAACCACAATTGATTTTTATATATGTATAGATAGATAGAGGATTAAGTAAAAATTTTTACTTACTAAACCTGCTACAGTTTGATGTCTTGATTGAAGATCACCCTACTTGTAGGAAGAAGAAAATACGTATTTACAAGGATATTTAACTTAAAAATAACTTCCCGATATTACCTCACAGGAGTTGAACCGCAAATGGTCCGACGTGCGACAACTGGTTCCCCAACGCGACGGCACTTTAGCGGCGGAACTACGCAAGCAGCAGAACAACGAGAACCTACGCCGACAGTTCGCCGAGAAGGCCAACGCCGTCGGGCCCTGGATCGAGCGACAGATGGACGCCGTCACTGCCATCGGGATGGGCTTGCAGGTAATAATAATCATTATCAATCAAAAGAGAGCTGTTGAACCACCTCTTTCTGTGTTCTGTGGTTCACACCATATATAATTTAAAGGCAAGAGAATCTCTTAGAGAAAAATTTAAAGAAATTAATATTTTAACACTGGCATCGCAATACATTTATGAAAATATAATATTGTAAGAAAAAGCTATGACGCATTTGCAAAAAAAAATTCAAACCCATAACTTTAACACGAGATTTAAAAACAAGCTTGCCGTTCCATGTTTCAGACTCCAAAAATCAAGAGGTTCATTTCTGGGATGTACTATTGCATTGTTTAACAAAGTTCCCCAAGATCTGATTGAGCTTCCACTAACCAAATTTAAATCTCAGATCAAGAATTCTCTTATGAATAAGGCCTATTATAAAGTTAATGATTATCTAAATGATCGTAATGCATGGACATAGTGTTTCTTGTAATTTGTTATTTGATGGGTATGAGTCAGTTTTTTTAACAGTAATATGGTACCTATCTAATGCCGCTTCCTATATACGAAATATAAAATTTATTGTAACTATATATCTATATCCTAAATAATGTAATGGAAGGTGACTTCAGAAGTATCTCTGAAGTCATTTTTCAACTTTTTCAACAAAGAAAAAAGCAGCCCTTGCTGAGTTTCTTGCCGGTTCTTCTCAGTACAAGGTCTCCCGCCGTAGTTTTGCGAACCGATGGCGTAGCTTCTTGACCTTCACAAGTGCTTGTAACAGCCTAGACTGAATAAATGACTTTTCATTTCATTTCATCAACCTATTAATGTGCCCAATGCTGGGGTACAGGCAATCCCTATGGATGGACAGCGTTGTGATTTTTTTAAAATAACACTATTGTAAATGCTAAATAGAAAATACCTATTTCCATTTTGTATTTAATAATGTTTGGATATTCGTTTAGAGTCCGATACCTGGAAAACAACTAAATTACCTCCCTCCTTATGCCTAAAACAACATAACGTTGAAGTAACATTTTAAAACGACGTTTATATGACGTAACGTTTACTGTTTCGCTATTATCATCAATTTCGCTATACAAACATTTAACTCACGTGCCGATTATTTCCCTTTTATATCAGGGTTCCCTGGAAGACCAGCTGCACCGGCTGAAGGAGTACGAAGCAGGCGTGTACGCGTACAAGCCGCACATCGAGGAACTGGAGCGTATTCACCAGGCCGTACAGGAGGGCATGATCTTCGAGAACAGGTACGGAAACAACTGAAAATTACCCAATCATCATCAGACTGCTGGTGAACGCGTACAAGCCGTACATCGAGGAACTGGAGCGTATTCACCAGGCCGTACAGGAGGGCATGATCTTAGAAAACAGGTACGGAAAAAACTGCAACTAACCCAATCATCATCAGCCTATTAATGTCCCCACTGCTGGGGCATAGGCCTTCCCTGTGGATGGAATAGGCAGATTGGGCCATAACCCTGCATGTGTGCCCAGTGCGGATTGGTGAATGCTAACGACTAGATATGGCAGAAGGTTTAAGGTGCTTTCCGAAGCCTGGAGAAGATCTCTGAGTTTAGAAAATCATGCCAAAATCGACACCAATATCTATATACCTATTAATCTTAGTCATAGTGTTAACGCTTTTTTATAACAAACAGAGTAAGGGCAAAGCGAATTTGCGCTCGAACTGGACCGCCTGTCTGGGAAAGTACTTCCACCTTACAGAAGATCGCACTAAAATAACAGAACCTTATGGTGGTTTTGTGGTTTAGTCAGTAAGTAAGGTTCCAGGGATCCAAGGGATAAAGGATTGGGTCAGTGATATCATTGAACTGAAACTTCTTTACGCACGCTTTACTTGGGGGGTAAGCTGGCGAATGCGTTACGCGTTATGAAAAGTGTGTTCGGGCGAGGCGAACGGGAGTTGAGTGGGGGATATAAGCAAGAGAAAGCAGTGCGCGTGCACATTTTCTTTCTCTCTTTCTCTTATAGCTAGTAAATTAAATATGTATATGTTGTACACACACATATATACATATATATATACACATACAGCTGGAGCTAAAGAAGTTTCACTTCAGTCGTGTGGTCATAAACACACTCGTTTTTTTTGTATCACAAGCGTCTAAAGGCTATGGTGGCCGCTAAATATCAAGCGGGTCATACGCTTGTTTGCAATCCTTTTAACATAAAAAATCTTTCTTCAGGTACTCCCAATACACGATGGAAACCCTACGCGTGGGCTGGGAACAGCTCCTCACCTCCATCAACCGCACCATCAACGAGGTGGAGAACCAGATCCTGACCAGAGATTCCAAGGGAATCACCCAGGAACAACTCACCGAGTTCCGCGCCTCCTTCAACCACTTCGACAAGAATCGCACCGGTGAGAATGCTTCATATGTCTCATCTTTAAATGCCTATTAAGGTCCTATCTGCTGGGGAACAGGCCTACTCTTTAGATGGAATAGGGAGACTGGGCCATGACCCATCCCTTACCCAGTGCGGATTGGTGGGTGCCGATGAGATAGACCCATGAACCATCACTGTCCCAATGTGGATTAGTAAGTGCTCACGACTGCAGATACAGCCGGGGCCAATGGCTTAACGTGACTTTTAAAGCACGGGGGAGTTCGAGATAGTAAATGTTTAGTCACCCATCCTAAAATGGCTATGGCGAAAGTTGCTTAACTTCAACGATCGCGGCCCAACACGCCAACTCACTGCACCATCTTTATCTGCCTATTAAGGTCCTATCTGCTGGGGAACAGGCCTACTCTTTAGATGGAATAGGGAGACTGGGCCATGACCCATCCCTTACCCAGTGCGGATTGGTGGGTGCCGATGAGATAGACCCATGAACCATCACTGTCCCAATGTGGATTAGTAAGTGCTCACGACTGCAGATACAGCCGGGGCCAATGGCTTAACGTGACTTTTAAAGCACGGGGGAGTTCGAGATAGTAAATGTTTAGTCACCCATCCTAAAATGGCTATGGCGAAAGTTGCTTAACTTCAACGATCGCGGCCCAACACGCCAACTCACTGCACCATCGAGTGAGTTAATTTAACTCCTATAATCGTTGTTTATTTAGTCATCGTTATAATGAACCGAGGCTTTCACTATACTCTTCCTCATTTACTGGCTTCTTCGCGGTTTCTAGTTACTTTTAATTACAAGCTTTTATTTAACTTGCACTGTTCGTATATAACTATGTATGTAGCTTCAAAATTTGTAAACCATTTTCGAAAACTTCTTGTTTTCAAATAGAATCAAAACGATATAAACCTAATCGTATCTCTTATTTATTGGGTGGTCCATCATATTGAGGGCTCGGAGGACCATAATTTAGAGTGACCCCTACAATATTGATGATATGTTCAGGAAAACCAACTGATATTTTTAAAAGCTTGAGATTTTTACCATAAAGTAGGCTGTTTGTTACATTGTTATTTTAACGAAGTTCCTTTCCGGACGGTACGAACTTGGCGGATAGTGACAAGGCGAAGAAAATTGTAAAATAAATGTACTCATGTTTATTTTTAACTTCGTTCCAATTTTTTTATTCATCATTTTCGTGTTTATTTTTTACTTAACTCCTTACAATATTCTAACCTTATAATTAACACAATATTTCATTGAACAGGCCGCCTAGCGCCCGAAGAGTTAAAGTCTTGCCTCGTGTCTCTGGGCTACAGCATCGGCAAGGACCGGCAAGGAGAACTCGACTTCCAGCGCATCCTGGCTGTCGTCGATCCCAACAACACAGGTAAAATACGTAACTTCAAGCGATATTCTACCTAAAGTCGAAATAATAAAAATAGATATTAATCAGATATGCTATTTGACAGTATGAAAATTAAAGTACCAATTGTTGGCATCTGTATTCAATATGAATATTAGCAGCGATTTTACTTTTCTGAGAGCACTAATAATAATTAATAACTTTCCTAAAAAATCATTAAATAGAAATGAGATTTTTTGTTCTATGGTCACGTGACCGAAAACGCCTGGGATTGGCGAAGATTTAAATGACGTCACACGCTAGTAAACTTCCGCCAAAGAGAAATTGACGTTTTAATGCGTTTTGTTTTAAAAACAGTCTTATAACGACACATGATAATGCTAGTGAGACGCCATAATGTCCAGAAAAACGTTATTGTGACAACTTGAAATTAAGCCAGATACCCTATTTCTTATTCTCTTATTCATAAAAGTTTGAATCAAGCTTTTTTGTAAAAACGAACGACAGACAGAATGTCATTGCCAACCCATCGCCTACAATTTAGTTATTAAAAATTTCCCACTCCTAGGTGCTAGCTCTAGTCAAGCATGATTGCTTATTTAATTATAAATAAGACTTTAATTTGGTTTCCATGTTAGGTATATTGTATTTTTCTGCAGAAATTTCTTTAAACTGTTTCGTTTTGTTACTCCTTCAGGCTACGTTTCGTTCGACGCTTTCCTGGACTTCATGACAAGGGAATCAACAGACACAGACACCGCTGAGCAAGTCATCGACAGCTTCAGGATTCTAGCTGGCGACAAGGTAACCAATCCTCATAACTTTTTATTGCATTCTTATTGAAAAAGCATTGATAACATTACGAAAATATTGTGGCTTGACTGAGCCAATAGTGGCCGCGACTTGAGGCTCATTGTACGCTTGCCTTTCTTTATTTCTCGGGGTTTGTCACCGGTGGCAAATGTGCGTGCGTGAAAACTTAAGAAACAAATATAATATGAGCTGTTTCGTTACCCCTTAGCCGTACATAACCGCGGACGAGCTCCGACGCGAGCTGCCACCCGACCAGGCGGAGTACTGCGTGGCGCGCATGCCGCCCTACCGCGGGCCCGGCGCGCCCCCGCACGCGCTCGACTACATGGCCTTCAGCACCGCGCTCTACGGCGAGACCGACCTCTAGGTGAGCACCCCCCCTCGGCCGTATAATATATAACCCGACCAGGCGGAGTACTGCGTGGCGCGCATGCCGCCCTACCGCGGGCCCGGCGCGCCCCCGCACGCGCTCGACTACATGGCCTTCAGCACCGCGCTCTACGGCGAGACCGACCTCTAGGTGAGCACCCCCCCTCGGCCGTATAATATATAACCCGACCAGGCGGAGTACTGCGTGGCGCGCATGCCGCCCTACCGCGGGCCCGGCGCGCCCCCGCACGCGCTCGACTACATGGCCTTCAGCACCGCGCTCTACGGCGAGACCGACCTCTAGGTGAGCACCCCCCCTCGGCCGTATAATATATAACCCGACCAGGCGGAGTACTGCGTGGCGCGCATGCCGCCCTACCGCGGGCCCGGCGCGCCCCCGCACGCGCTCGACTACATGGCCTTCAGCACCGCGCTCTACGGCGAGACCGACCTCTAGGTGAGCACCCCCCCTCGGCCGTATAATATATAACCCGACCAGGCGGAGTACTGCGTGGCGCGCATGCCGCCCTACCGCGGGCCCGGCGCGCCCCCGCACGCGCTCGACTACATGGCCTTCAGCACCGCGCTCTACGGCGAGACCGACCTCTAGGTGAGCACCCCCCCTCGGCCGTATAATATATAACCCGACCAGGCGGAGTACTGCGTGGCGCGCATGCCGCCCTACCGCGGGCCCGGCGCGCCCCCGCACGCGCTCGACTACATGGCCTTCAGCACCGCGCTCTACGGCGAGACCGACCTCTAGGTGAGCACCCCCCCTCGGCCGTATAATATATAACCCGACCAGGCGGAGTACTGCGTGGCGCGCATGCCGCCCTACCGCGGGCCCGGCGCGCCCCCGCACGCGCTCGACTACATGGCCTTCAGCACCGCGCTCTACGGCGAGACCGACCTCTAGGTGAGCACCCCCCCTCGGCCGTATAATATATAACCCGACCAGGCGGAGTACTGCGTGGCGCGCATGCCGCCCTACCGCGGGCCCGGCGCGCCCCCGCACGCGCTCGACTACATGGCCTTCAGCACCGCGCTCTACGGCGAGACCGACCTCTAGGTGAGCACCCCCCCTCGGCCGTATAATATATAACCCGACCAGGCGGAGTACTGCGTGGCGCGCATGCCGCCCTACCGCGGGCCCGGCGCGCCCCCGCACGCGCTCGACTACATGGCCTTCAGCACCGCGCTCTACGGCGAGACCGACCTCTAGGTGAGCACCCCCCCTCGGCCGTATAATATATAACCCGACCAGGCGGAGTACTGCGTGGCGCGCATGCATGCGCATACTGCGGGAGACCCGACATCTAGATGACTCTATTAATAAGCCCACTGCTGGATCACAGGCCTTTCCTATGGATGGGAATAGTAAGATGGAGCAGTGATCCACAACGCAGACCCAGTGCGAATTGGTAGGTGCTAATGACTGCAGTGCCTTCCAAAGCACTGAGGAGCTCGAGATAATAAATTGTAGATCACCCTTCCACTGACCGACCGCTCTATTCCACGATCGCAGGCCGAACACCGGCTAGTGGATATTATGCCGTAAAGCGCCCGTAAGATTTACAGGGTCCTCAGTGGGCAGCCACTTCGGGGGCTCGTGAGGGTTGCGGGAGCCAGGTGTGAGGTCTGTTCGGCGGTGTGCCTCTTAAAGGCGTCGTTGTCTGTAAATAGAGGTTTTGCCTGCGTCATAAAAAAAAATGGGTGCGTGTACTTATGTAGGCGCGTGAGAAGTTATCCTTCTTTGGCATCGTTTAAAATTAGTTTTTAATTGCATGCAAATAATTAATTACAATAAATTAATAAAAAGTCTGGAAAAGGACACAGTCAATAAAGTTCAGTTTTAATTTGAAAAAATAAATAAATAATCAAAATATTCAATTAAAATCGCTACTGAATATAATTTATTAGAACATATGTGATTTGCACTTGTATGAAACTCAAACACGTATTCCGAATATACAAACTAGAAACATGTGGATAAATATTATAAATACCTATAACTGTTACTTTATTACAAAAAATAAAGATGTGGTTTTTGGTTCTACTACACCAATGGTCAAGAGATGGCGCTGTAGTCTCCTGAATCGCGCTTTGGTTCCGTTGTTCCAGATTAATAAATACTTTTGATAGGCCTTCACAATGCAGTCGTTAGCACCCACTAAATAGAGATTCTATTTCTATTTTGTTGGTAGATTTTCTTAATGTGCGGTAAACACAAAAGCAAAAAAATATTGTGTTACAGTGATGCGCGCGCATCTTAAAATTTCACTCTCATCATTTTTTCATAACGCGCCTAAAGAAGTATAACTTCAAAAAGCCGAACACCGGCGCCATTGAGCTCCTCGTTCCTCTCTAACTGACTCACCCTGACTAAAATTAGCCATTTTTTTTCACTTGTAGTTAATACTGCCTTATCAACACCAAATTATAGGTAACTTTACAAGACTCATCACTAACATACACTTGTGTCGATTCTGGCATGATTTCCATGATAGGTATATTGTTTTCTGATTCTCTAAACCTAAACTTAAATTTGACAAGTGTATCCCTGTCAATCTCTATATAGACTGAAAAGGAGAGACTGATTTTTAATTTAGTTTTAAGTTTAGAAAACCCTGCCAGAATCGACACCACTGCCAGCATTTGCAATTACGAGGTCATCCTCAAGAAGACACAAACCAGACACATCAGACCAGACCAGAGAGCACTGTTAAACCACACAGATCTATATTGCTTGACACTAATTTAGTACTTCTTATGAGAACCTGATGACTGTCAAATGCTGGTTATTATGTTAAATTATTCTCGCCTGTGTGATTCACACTATTATTGTCACAAAAAATTTTTTAGTTAATTTACATACTGGCTACTGTCCAAATCTTCTTTGGTCAGATGCCTAGATTCCTTCCAAATATACCAACTTGTACTCAAATAAACTTGACTTAGATACAGGTTGTGAAAATCGCATCATCATCGGATATCATCACCAGAAGTCAATCACTAGAGGGGTACAGAAGCGCCTCGTGGCCGAGACTGCGACAAGCCGCACCACACTACTGGGACTGAAGCGGCATGAGCCACACGAAATCCGAACATTATTTCCCTTACATTGACACCGCACGCCCTAAACTGTCAATGTGATCCAAATAATATTCGTAATATTTAATAGTTTTATTAGTCTTTTAAAACAGTTCTATATTAAAATACATATGTGCAATGTTCAAACCAAAAATGCCATTAACTTTCATACAGTGGAAAACTCTTCTCCTTGATTTTTACTAGTAACATTTTGGCTCAAATCAGAGAAATCATTTATATGTTTATATCTCTCTATTTATACATTATTAGCATTAGGTATTTTTAACTTTTATATGGAATTCTCAGAGAAGTCACAAAAAGTTATTTGTAAGATAAAATGGTGCTAATGTTAGGTTCGACTATGTGTGACACCAAATTAAGACTCATACATATTGTGAGAATGTTTTTGTTATATTTTTTTATTTATAAGAAAACATTATTTATGAAGATCATTTTTTATTACTGCCATTAGTAATTATAGCTCCTTGATGGTAGTTACATATCATCTGAATTATGAAGGTTGCAGGGAAGTGTCACACAAATTATTTATGTCACATAGATTGCCATAGCTTGCCTGCATCTATTTATTTATCATTTGGATATCATTTTTATATGATTTATCGTTTTTGAGAGTACTTTGCAAGGAGTATTCAAAATAAATGATCTGCCATATTTTTGTCTTTTAATAATGACTGCGTTGTTAATCCAACCAATTATATTATGATGAGATACAGTGGTACGTAGAATAAGAATGGATTATGTGCCCAAAAGTATACTAACTCGAATGTACAGCTAATTTAATAAAAGCTCTTAAACACAAAAATGTTTCTTTATTTCAAAATAACCAAGTAATGAACCTTCTTGTATACGAACTTGTATACGAACAAATAGTATGACACACAGTAAACAAAACATGTTCCAAGAGGATAGGTGTGCTAATATTTGTTTCTTGTTGTTTCTTGGTAATTCTATTGATGCAGCCTGAAAAGGATGTGAAATGTCAAGATACAAATAAATCAGCGCATCTACACCGTTGAAACTTGTTTTATATAATGAGTGGTGTGCGTGAAAACCTAAAAAACTAATATAACACACAATATCAAAAAAAAAACTATTTGTTGTGCATAATGAACTTGCACAAATTTAATTCTATTTAGCTACACAATCAGTAAAATAATTATTTGGCATTATTTATGCTTGTTATATGATATGATAGAATAAATTATGCTAAAGTCCAAATTGTGTTATATCTAATGTCAATATCCATTGAAACTAAATATTTTAGTTGGAACAAAATATAATAAATACTTTATTAATTTCATAAGTATTCTACAAATATCAAGGCTTACTCACTAAAGCTTTGCAACCAACAATACAGAATGTTGTAAAGAATATAAAAAATCTTAGTCAAACACCAAAATTATCACCACTCACATAAACATGGCTTATCACATAGTTTGATACAGAATTTGAATATTACCTACTCAATGAATTTTGACTATTTCTTCTCTTCCTCTTTTGGTTCTGTAGCAGTAAGCAGAGCACTTTTTATTCCAACTTTCTTTAATTCCTCAACAAGTTCTCCCGATTGATGCATCTGCAACATGATATCACAACCTCCAACAAACTCCCCATTTATAAACACTTGTGGGATAGTAGGCCAATTTGAATAGTCTTTAATACCTGAAAACAAATCAATACCCATATCAGTGACATCTTCGCTAAAAATGTATTGTCTTCAAATGAAATATATTATCTCTTACAACCAGATAGGAAATTGATTGATTGAAGTTCCCAATAAAAGAACAGAATATATTCAAAGTTCAGAAATAACAAAACACTGACCTTGTCTAATATTTTCATCAGATAGGACATCCAGGCTTTCATAAGGAACTGCATGCATTCTCATAATTTGTACCACAGCATTACTAAATCCACATCTGGGGGCTTCTGGGACACCTTTCATAAATACCACCACTTTGTTAGTTTTCACTAATTTATCAATTTTCTCTTTCGTTGCGGCATCAGAAAATGCACGAGAAGTTAACCTCCCTGAGGTATTATATAAGGACAACAGATGTCTTCGCAATATACAATTCATTTTATGTTTTTATATGAAAGCAATAACAGAGGATCGATTTAACAATTTTAATTCTATATTTTTTTTTTAGTTAATTCTCAAATAAATATTTTAGACACGAGATGTCAGTAAAAATAACTGTCAAATCAATTGACAGTCAACTGTCAGTCATAGATAAGCATGGACTTCAAAGAGAAAAGGTATCTAATTAGTGCATGGACGTATAGTGTTCGTGTTGTCCCAAATTATCCATAATAGAATCTCAACACAACTATATGCAATAGCTTTACAAAAAACTTGGCAAGACTAGGACGATGAATCTCGCTATTTAATAACGTAAGCTTTATGCCGGTACTTTACTTAATAATTCGTTTTAACTTAACAACAGTCTGTCCTTAACATGCTTAGTCACGGTACGATATGAAGGCCGAAAATCCTAATTAAAAAAAATATACCAATATTGCAAAAAGTTAGTACTGATTATAAAGACTGAATAAAAAACTGTATGTATATAATAATCATATTATATAATTTCTTTTTTACATTTTGAATTTCGAACAACACTTTCCAAGTTATGTTGTAAATAAGTAGGTACACTAAACTATCATTATAATAATTATATTGTTATTTGTACGATATAACATTTCTTAATGATAATAAGAATAAAACAATTATTTAAATTAATTTACCTAAGCAAGGCTTTGTAATTGCTTTTTTAATCCCGTTGTTATTTATATATTTTATTTCACATACCTTTGAATAGTTAATTGCCTCGATTTTTTTTTATTTGATAATTGGTGTCGACTCTGGCATGATTCTCTAAAACTAAAATTAAATTTGACATCGGTGTGTCTCTGTCATTCTCTATACAGACTGAAAAGAACAAACTGATGTTAAATTTAGTCTTAAGTTTAAAGATTCCTGCCAGAATCGACACCATTATCTTAATAAAATGATGATTCGGTTTGCTGATTTTATATGGATATAGTTGTAAGAATACTCTTAAAGAACGAAATTAACCTGTATTGTCTTCATATCCATTATTTTTTAAAAAATTGTTTTTGTTCTATAAATTAGATTAATTCTGTCTCGGTGAACTCCTTATTATTACTTAAACTGACATTAGTCTGGCCCTAAATCGTATGTCTTCGTCTTTACAGATAGCCTTGATTTTAGTGCGCTACTCGCCGCTTTAATATCAGTGGCTTTACTTGTTTTCTTAAAGTAAACGCTATAAAGCATCTCCTGTTTGTTTTTGCTCCATGATCACGACACGCCACACAACACGTAAATAAATATGTTTCTGGTCTGGGTTAATCTGTGACTCGTTGTGACTCGTCGTACCTCGCTCGCCTCGTTTGTTATCTGTGGATCGTGGATACAATTCATCGTAATTTTATTTTATTTTTTCTGCTATCATCACAATTGCTTTCATGAAAATGGAAAATGCAGAAGAAATATTTCATTTTCTAGAAGAATTTTCCAAACGTAAAACTAAGAATATTCCTCAAGAGCTAAATGACTATTTGGCGTACGTAGCGCGCACCGGTGATCCAGTGTACCAATGGACTCTCGTGAAATGTTTATTCAAAGAAAAACTTTTGAACGTGATTACAGATTTTTACGAAACCACACCTGGCATCGATATTCCACCATATCCGAATGTGGATCCATTTAATTACGACATCATGAAAAACAGTTTGCTAGAACGTCTGGATTCCTTTACATCAGCACCTTTCACAGTTCAACGAATATGTGAACTTTTAACATATCCTCGTAAGCAGTATAACAGAGTAGACAAATTTATGAGAGCTATAGAAAAGAACATTCTGGTTGTGAGCACCAGGGAGCCTGGGATTCAACGTCACATAGAAGCAGAAAACGGTGAACCAATGGAACCCATAGTAAATGGCTCTGACAACAACTCTGAATACAATGTAGACGTTGAAATGGAAGATATGTCATGGAAAGAAAACTCAGAACCCCAACAAAGCTCTGAACCTCAACCAAGTTCTTCTGATACCCATATTTCAGTTGATGATATTGAAGCAAGACTGAAAGCCAAGCAAGATGCTCCAATGGACATACAAGATAAAGTGTCTACTCAGTATGAATCTGTAACTCCCCCGGAGCTAAATATAACATCTGATGAACCTGTAGTAGAAACAAAATCAGAATCTGTAACAACCCAACAAGCGACTACTTCGGTAACAGAAGACAATAAGATAGAAACTACAGATACACCTGAGGCATCTGATAAACCAAAAATGGATGTAGACATGAAAACTGAAGATGCTTGTGAAACCCAAGGATTAGTAATTCCAGAAATTAAAGTAGATGATGCTGAAATGACTGAGCAGAGATTAAATGAACAAACTAATACAATAAAAGCAGAAGAAGAAATTGCAGAAAAGGCACCTGTCACTGAAAGTAAAACTAATTTGGAAGATCAGCAAACTAGTATTGATGAAAGCAGCTCGGATTCCAATTCAAAAGAAGAGTCGGACAATAAGGTTGTATCAGATGTTCCGACTTCAAGTGAAGAAAGCTCATCATCTAGTGATAACACTGATGGAAATAGTAATTCACCCAAGGCAATAGAGAGTCATTGTGATATACCAGAAGAGTCCAGTCAGTCTGACTCCAACATGGAAGAAGAAAAAGAGGAGAAACAACCAGACCCAGTAGAAAATGTTACAGCACCCGAAGAGCAAGATGTTCCAACACCCACCATTCAAAACGACAACTATTCTATAAGTGATGTTCAATCAGAATTACCGCAACCAGTTGATGAAAATCCTCCCAAGGAGCAGGAAGCAGCGACTTCACAGGAGACCTTATCTACTCCTGATGTAGAAAAGAAGGAAGAACAAGTAACTACAGAAGATGCCAAAGCTCCAGAAGTAGAACCAGAGGAAAAAGGATCATAATGTTCCTTAAATCATTGAATTAGCTGTCAATTTCGGGATATGGAAGGTCTATTGCTGTCAGGGTACTAACACTTTGGGAGCTAAGGATTTATCAAGATTATGGACTCTGACAAATGTAATAGTACTTTGCCAACAAGAGACAACTAGATCCAATTCAACTTCTTTAATAAGACTTAAAGTTTGAGTTTTTGCCACTGATTAGTGTAATCATAAAAGAATTAATATAAATTACTTCACAGATACTGATTGCCTCTTCCAAGTCATGATGATCAGATACAGGAAGTGCATACTTCACAATGTTCATGAAATATGCAATCAGTTTTGTCAGTATCTCAAAATTCCTCGAAATTATGAAGACTACAACTATAAAAAACAATGATCAATCTCATCAGACAGTGAGATTTTTCAGATTAGTGAAATAAAAGACTGTGCTTAACTCAAAAAAATACTTTACTAACATAATACAGTTCAACACAATCAACATGATTTACACAAATAACCACAACAGTATAATTTTCCTTATGATATAACATTGCCAATACACCTGGATCTCAGAATGAACAATGGCAAGTAACTAGTATTTTAGACAATTTCAATGTGATGAATGACAACTGTAATTTTAGTTTTGTATTTATGACAAAATAATAATGAATTCATTCCTATGTCAATTGTATCATTTAATAGCTAACCACTCAATCATTATAATGATTATGAGATTACTATACTTAACAGTTTATTTTTCATTACCTAAAATTTACCTTTTGTTGCATCATTGCAATGCCATAATCTAATATATAAAATTCTTGTGTCACGGTTTGCGTAATTGAACTACTCTGAAACGGCTCGACCAATTTCCGTGTAATTTTATATTCATATTTAGTAGCTCAGAATCGGACTACACCTGTTTTTCATCCCCCTTAATGTGAAGGGATAAGTCTAAACCTTTAAATTTTTTTTTGACAATTTTTTTAGTTTTTATCTTTATTTTTTTATGATACATCATACAAAAATACATAGGTACAATCCTAAATTTTCAACCTTCTACCACCCATATTTTTATGGCGATACAAAGTTCGCTGGGCCAGCTAGTATTATTTATATTGCACTGGTAAAGAAGAAAATCTAAAAAGATCACAGTTTCATGCTATAGTCAGTTACATAAGTATTGCTTTGCAACTAATTTCTTAAAACTAAACAGTATAACAAACAGTAACTATTATTTATCAGTCCTACAAATATTGTACTAAAATATTTTTACACCATCATCATCATAAAACTTAACAAATTTTATTTATCAGGATTTTACTATTATATCTATACATAGTGTTTGTATACACAATATCAAAAATAATACTCTATATTTTGTGGCAGGATGTTTCTATTTCTTCCTGTTCTTTCCAAGTACTTTGAGTTCGTTCCTCATGATTTTTCCAGCAGCATTCCTGGGAATAGCATCTAAGAAAGCAACTCCACCTTCGAGGTGTTTGTATTTTGTGAGTTTTTGAGCGACAAAGTCATAGACTTGCTTCTCGGTGAGTTGTCCTCGTGGTTTTAGTACGACGAATGCTTTAGGCAACTCCCCGGCAAGGTGGTCTGGCATCCCCACCACTGCCACGTCCGCTACCTCGGGCATTTCCATGATGATGCTCTCGATTTCTGTCGGAGATACCTGTCAGACAAATTGAAGTTTAGTGTAAAGTTTTACCCGCCCACGCATTACTTATTAAAATTCACATTTGAACATCATAACTTTAAATGAAGATGAAAGAGAGAAAATATTTATTACTTGCTAATAATCAATTTCCATACAAATAGCTAAAAAATAGATTACTCCAGTGATCCCTTTATATTTATATCAAATAATTAATTTCTAAAAAATCATTAAAAGATATGATTATTTTGTTCGTTTTGTTCTATGGTCACGTGACCGAAAACGCCTGAGATTGGCGAAAGCTAAAATGACGTCACACGCTAGTAAACTTCCGTTCAGCGCCATTGTATCGTTTGACGTTTTAATGACAGTTGTGTGACGTCGCATAGCAGTAAGACGCCATTATGTGTAGATAAACGTTTTCGCGACAACTTTAAAATATTATTTTTGATTAATTGATTGATGAAAATTGGTAAATAAGTGAGATCGTTTTTTAAAACTTATCAAATACCCTGTTATGTGTTATATATATAATTTTGTTTAGTAATAAGTTTTATTTTCATCCTTCCTTTCCTCAGCTGATCCGCTGATCAATTTTTTTCTGTCTTTGTTCCTCCCTAGGTCGCATCTTGTCTATTCTCTTTGGTAAATGGGGCACCCCCTACTTTAAATCTGTCCCCTTCTTTCATCCCATCGTTCATCCAGCATTGTATAGCTGATGGACGATTTCAGTGACGGGCTTCCAGACACATGTGCCGGTCACCCGGACACCAGTAACATTTAGAATCATTAGTTAAGAACACGTTCAATATGTGAACTATATAGAACCAAGTGAAAAAATCAGTTATTTCAAAAAAAAAGAAGAAAAAAACCCTTTTATGTGGCATTTTGACCCTAGGATAAATATGGTTTGTACCTGGTTGCCCTTGACTTTGATGAGTTCCTTGGTCCTGTCGACGATGTAGAAGTAATGCTCTTCATCGTAGTAGGCGACGTCGCCGGTGTGCAACCAACCTTCGCTGTCTACAGTCTCTTTGGTCGCCGCCTCGTTATTCCAGTAACCTTTCATTACCTGGATCATAAAAAGATATATCTAATTAAAACAAAATTGATGTGGTTCTATCTAACCCTAACGCCAGTGAAACTTTTAAAATTATTAACTCAAAAGTCCTTTGTAGGCTGCGATTCGAACCCGCGCCGCTCGCGTAGCAGGCGAGATCTCAGCCACTGAACCACTGATTGATTGATAAAGTCTGTTTTTTTAATAACAATCAAAAATTTAATGCGACGTTCTAAAGACGAACGCAAAAACATGTAGCGAAATGCTTTTATGAAGAACTGCATTTAATTTGATAATGCTCTTTTAATGTCGTTTTTTCCAGGATATGGTTTGTATGAATACATTTTGATGGAGAATCTATTAGAAAATATAAGAAAATTTGACATTGGGGATATTAAAGATTGGTCTGAGATCGTGGAATGACAAAAATTAAAATAACCCTCGCAGTGGACTGTTATTGGATGAACGACTTATTATAGTTTGATCCCGGGTGCATTCCCCTCATATTCAAGTGGTCTAGCGGCTCCAGACGGAGAGGAGACTCCCCCCGTGGGGAGATGCCATCCGCCTGGAATAATTACCTCTAGAGGCACTCACTACAATTTGACCTTCTACACGAGTTGCGGTCCCGCAGCCTAACAGTCTGATCATATTACCACATATTATTATTTATCATATGACACCACGCGCCCCTGCGTGCTGCACACGAGCTGTGATCATACTGCCACATACCTGCGGGCCGCGCAGCCACAGCTCGCCGGCCTGGTGCGGGGGCAGCGCGCGCCCGTCCGTCAGCGACACCACGCGCCCCTGCGTGCTGCACACGAGCTGTGATCATACTGCCACATACCTGCGGGCCGCGCAGCCACAGCTCGCCGGCCTGGTGCGGGGGCAGCGCGCGCCCGTCCGTCAGCGACACCACGCGCCCCTGCGTGCTGCACACGAGCTGTGATCATACTGCCACATACCTGCGGGCCGGGCCGCGCAGCCACAGCTCGCCGGCCTGGTGCGGGGGCAGCGCGCGCCCGTCCGTCAGCGACACCACGCGCCCCTGCGTGCTGCACACGAGCTGTGATCATACTGCCACATACCTGCGGGCCGCGCAGCCACAGCTCGCCGGCCTGGTGCGGGGGCAGCGCGCGCCCGTCCGTCAGCGACACCACGCGCCCCTGCGTGCTGCACACGAGCTGTGATCATACTGCCACATACCTGCGGGCCGCGCAGCCACAGCTCGCCGGCCTGGTGCGGGGGCAGCGCGCGCCCGTCCGTCAGCGACACCACGCGCCCCTGCGTGCTGCACACGAGCTGTGATCATACTGCCACATACCTGCGGGCCGCGCAGCCACAGCTCGCCGGCCTGGTGCGGGGGCAGCGCGCGCCCGTCCGTCAGCGACACCACGCGCCCCTGCGTGCTGCACACGAGCTGTGATCATACTGCCACATACCTGCGGGCCGCGCAGCCACAGCTCGCCGGCCTGGTGCGGGGGCAGCGCGCGCCCGTCCGTCAGCGACACCACGCGCCCCTGCGTGCTGCACACGAGCTGTGATCATACTGCCACATACCTGCGGGCCGCGCAGCCACAGCTCGCCGGCCTGGTGCGGGGGCAGCGCGCGCCCGTCCGTCAGCGACACCACGCGCCCCTGCGTGCTGCACACGAGCTGTGATCATACTGCCACATACCTGCGGGCCGCGCAGGCACAGCTCGCCGGCCTGGTGCGGGGGCAGCGCGCGCCCGTCCGTCAGCGACACCACGCGCCCCTGCGTGCTGCACACGAGCTGTGATCATACTGCCACATACCTGCGGGCCGCGCAGCCACAGCTCGCCGGCCTGGTGCGGGGGCAGCGCGCGCCCGTCCGTCAGCGACACCACGCGCCCCTGCGTGCTGCACACGAGCTGTGATCATACTGCCACATACCTGCGGGCCGCGCAGCCACAGCTCGCCGGCCTGGTGCGGGGGCAGCGCGCGCCCGTCCGTCAGCGACACCACGCGCCCCTGCGTGCTGCACACGAGCTGTGATCATACTGCCACATACCTGCGGGCCGCGCAGCCACAGCTCGCCGGCCTGGTGCGGGGGCAGCGCGCGCCCGTCCGTCAGCGACACCACGCGCCCCTGCGTGCTGCACACGAGCTGTGATCATACTGCCACATACCTGCGGGCCGCGCAGCCACAGCTCGCCGGCCTGGTGCGGGGGCAGCGCGCGCCCGTCCGTCAGCGACACCACGCGCCCCTGCGTGCTGCACACGAGCTGTGATCATACTGCCACATACCTGCGGGCCGCGCAGCCACAGCTCGCCGGCCTGGTGCGGGGGCAGCGCGCGCCCGTCCGTCAGCGACACCACGCGCCCCTGCGTGCTGCACACGAGCTGTGATCATACTGCCACATACCTGCGGGCCGCGCAGCCACAGCTCGCCGGCCTGGTGCGGGGGCAGCGCGCGCCCGTCCGTCAGCGACACCACGCGCCCCTGCGTGCTGCACACGAGCTGTGATCATACTGCCACATACCTGCGGGCCGCGCAGCCACAGCTCGCCGGCCTGGTGCGGGGGCAGCGCGCGCCCGTCCGTCAGCGACACCACGCGCCCCTGCGTGCTGCACACGAGCTGCCCCACGGACCCCACTTTGCCGTGCGGGTACACGTACGGCGTCATCAGCGACACCGGCGAGCTCTCTGTCATGCCGTAACCTGTATGCAAATCCATCATTTAAGATATCCTCCTTTCGCGCGTCTAAGATCGCCACCGATCCATTTTAAACTATCGCTTGTCTTAGTGGACCTTACGGTAATAATTATACACACCACGTGGACAGCATAGACATCCCGCAAGACTTTTGAGAGAGAATGTGTGATAAAGTTTTGAAATAATTCATCATCCTTTTTTAATTCTCAACATTTGAAAAATATTATTTTTACATCACCTCTACTAAGTAAGCACAAATCCAAGTTACGAAACTCAACCCTAGGCAAAGACAACTATGTAATTGAAATCTGAGCGACTATAGTGAATTTGCCTAATTCTCTCACCTTGCAACAACCTAACTTGGTCCTTAGTCTTCTGGCATTTAAGCAGGAACTTCTCCAATATACTATCCGTGGTAGGCGCAGCGCCGACCATGATCGTCTCCACTGACTGCAGATGTTCTTTGGTGACCATCGGGTGCGTGCCCAGAAACGCTAGCAGCGACGGAACCACGAACAAAGTGCTGGGCTTGTACTGCACCAGGCATTTTATGTAGTCCTCCGGGGTGAATCTGGTAAAGATGATAGTACAGGAATAACCATCAAATAGATTTTATTTACCGCGATTACAACGCGAAAAATATAATTACGAACTATTTTTATTATTCTCATTATCTAAAGGCTCTTAACATAAAAAAATCAGGTGAACACAACAATACAATTTAAAGTTATACTATTTCTTAAAGGAAGGCAGATATTTTTAGGAGAGATTGTTGATTCCACTGCTGTTTTCTGTTAAGTGGAGGTCGCTTCCCCAGACGGGCGGTTCGAGGTTTCCCTTCTACCTACTAACCAGTGCCCTTAAAACACTCGCAGGCGAAGCAACATTTGTGCAGGCCGGCAAAGACAGGATCTCTGGTATGGCATTTAAAACTGGTGTAAGTACCAGCTATCGTCATGTCTGGACTCTACCACAAGTCAACATTTATAGTTCTATTCTGTAAAGACACAAAATTTTCACGCGCGGATCCGATATGGAACTGAACGCAGTACCCTTAGCACGAACCAATATCGAATTCGAATAGTTTGCGAGTACGAAATGTCATTGTCAAATGTGTAGGTACTGATTTTTAGTTCTCGTTACGTACTTTGTGGCGCTGCTGTTAAAGTTTCCATACAAAATTTGACATAGACATTTTGCACTTGCAAATGGTTCGTGCTAGTAGTGGTAGCTCCATAGTGGATCCGAGAGGGACCCGCGCGGGAAAATTTTGTGAGTCTTTACATAATAACCATAATCCTATAACAGTAGTAATAAATTATTTTTATATTTGTTTCTTAGGTTTTCACGCACATCACTCATTAAATAAAACTAGTTTTTACGGGTTAATGCACGAAAACTTTATTTATTTATTGACGTTTCGCAGCCTTTTCAGGTCTGCATCGTCAGAATAATGATTTTTCTAATGCCTTTTCAGGTCTGCATCGTCAGAATAATGATTTTTCTGACGATGCAGACCTGAAAAGGCTGCGAAACGTCAATAAATAAATAAAGTTTTCGTGCATTAACCCGTAAAAACTAGTTTTATTTAAATTATTTTTAGTTTAATTTTTATTGCACTTTCTGTTTCCCGCTAAGTTGTGAATCTCCGACACCACCTAGGTTGGCTGGAAGAGATCTCTTTTAGAGATAAGCCCACCTTTGCTTACTATGTATTTGACTATATGTTTTAACTATATGATGCAATAAAGAGTATAATAACACTACAGGTAGAGTGAAGTTTTAGCATGAAGTAAAATTTTAGCGTAGAAGCATTTCCTTTATAATTTTTTTTTTAAAGCATGTAACTGCTTGATGTTTAAATCTAAAGAAAATATAACTAGAAAAAATTCCACGCGGACCAGGCAGCAGACGGGACTCGAACCCGCACCCTTTGCAATCCGGGTGAATGCACTGACCAATTATGCTACCGCGGCCCTCACGGACCGCGTCGAAATTCCTCTAGTCATTCTTAAGCTGCAAGGCAGCTCCATCTCTTCGCATTATAGGTAACCCACAATGTCACATGTTTAAAGAAGAAATAGCAATTATATTTATAATTTTTTTTTAAAGCATGTAACTGCTTGATGTTTAAATCTAAAGAAAATATAACTAGAAAAAAAAAGGTGCGGGTTCGAGTCATAAATTTAATCAAAAGTAAAACTTACTTTGGCATAGAGACAATATGGTAGCCCAGCCTGAGGTTGTAGTTCAAAATTCCGTTGAAACCGTAAATGTGGAAGAACGGTGGTACCGTCAATACAACTTCACATTGACCTAAAGACGAATAAAAACATAAAATAAAATAAATATTAGGTACTTACATATTACACGAATTAAATATAAAAGTATTATAAAAATCTATGTCAATGTGATAAACTCATCCAATTCATTAATGTTTCTAAGAAAGGAAATTTTCAGCATATACATGAAGATTTCATATTCTTGTGATGTGAGGAATTGTTTCCGGTTTTCAGTTTACCAACTCGGAAAAATAATAATATACTATTGTCGATTATGGAAGGTTCTCTAAACTTAAAACTAAATTTAACATCATTCTCTCCTTTTTATTATGTTTAGAGAATGCCAAGGATACACTGTGGTCAAATTTAAATTTAGTTTTACAGAATCATGTCAGAATCAACACCAAAGTCTAGATGAGTGAAATAGGTTTTTATTATATTTACTCTTACTAGAAACGTTAATTTTATTGTACTTTGTAATCACACTACTATAAAAAAGGCGAAAGTTTGAGCGTGTGTAATAAACGTCAGATGTAAGTACTTTTAAATTGATTATTAGTAATATAGACCGATGTGCCTATAATTTGTTTGTTTTTATTTTTTTTATAAATAGATCTATTCTTAGATATTGTCTATGTTACTTCTTCACGTCTAAACGGCTGGAGCGATTTTAATAAATTTTGGTATGGAGCTGAAAACCTAGATTAATACATAGGCTTATTTTTTACTGCGGGAAAATATCTCTCATAAATCGCGTGTAACACTGCGGGGCACGGCTTGTGTACAGTGTTTCCACAATGAGGGGAAATTCCCCTTTTAAGGGGAAATTAGGGTCCAGAGGGGAAGAAAATTATGGGTAAAGCCTAGCCTAAAATAATGCGGCACGGAAAAAAAAAATTATGGAATGATACCGTGGACTAGAGTGTTGCCGTATAAAAGAAACTGTGGTAACACGTGCAGATTTTATATATTTTATTTATCTCTTATAGAATAAGATAGATTAAGACCTTTTTTTTCTTTAGTTACTACACTAGTGCCAAAATCTAAAAACTACAGCAGAATAGTTTTTGAGGGGAAAAATGTAATAAGAAGGGGAAATTTTAATTGAGGCGTGGTGAAAGGAAATCATTAAAGTGGAAACACTGCTTGTGTAACATAAAACAACCGATGATGCAGCAAAATGCGACGGCGTTGAAAAATTAGAGACTTCGATTCGTAACTCGAATATTGTAGGAACACTCAAGCCACTCGTTAACGAGTCGTCTCGTCGGTTAATTATCAATCAATCTGCTAATAACTAAACTAGTTAAACGTTTGTAGTCAACATTCACTGACGGGGCAGGTTAGAGGGAATGTGGGCCATGGTTTTGCGATTGCGAAGTTGTCAAGTTCCCTATTTCGTATTATTGTATCTATGAAATTAATTTAATTTATTAATTTTTATTGGTGTCGATTCTAGCGTGATTAATGAATTTCAAATCTTTCTTTCCTTTTCATTCTGTAAAGAGAAGGACAAACTGTTGTCAAATTTAAATTTAGGTTTAGAGAATCATACCAGAATCGACCCCATTGTTATGCTTGTAATACGAGTAATAATGTTTCACTGAAATTCTAATACTTAAACATATTGGTGACCATTGATGTTGAGATTGTAATGATCTATGTATTTATTAGTACTACTTGAATATAATTGTTGTATGACAAACTTGTTTTTTGGTTCTGTAAATAGAAAATAAATAGAAATGTTTGTGTTGTTTTGTATGAACTTAAATGAAAGTACACTCATCAAAAAAATCTAAGCAACAAAATGATGCATTCAGTTACGCAAACTGCAAGTTTTATCAGTTGATACCTATTTTATATTATCATTATGACATTTATGATTAATTAAAGTTTTTTTTTTGCTTTGGTCACTATTAAATCTAATAGGGATGATGACTATTTTTTTTTCTTCGTTTATCAGGTAGATTATCAAAAAGTATTGGACACGTAGTTTTTCTTATTTTCACATAATATAAACATTGCAGAGATATAATTGATTTGAAAAGTCGCATGACGTCACGTTTTGGTACAGTTTTCACATAAAAGTGACCTCACGAGCCCCTACTCCCAAACTTTGACGCGCTGTAATTTTGTCATTTTTTGGTTGATTGCCCAAAGAAAAAATACGTATCCATTATTTTTTGATCATCTAACTGACGGACTAAATGGAATTTGTTTACTGGACCCCGTCATCATCCCTATTGGTTATTATTAACAAAAGAATATAAGTATTAAAAATTTTAAACACCGGTTAAAAGTTCTAAAAAGTTTATTATTGCTTAGACTGTTTTGATGAGTACCCATGTACCTATATTATGTAATGATATGCCTAGAGGCAGCATTCACGTTCTTTTTTCAACCTAGCATTTGGGTCGTTTTAGGCAGAAAAGTTATCCATAGGTTTATTCACAAGATTATAGAAAACTAATTCTAATTAGGTCTCCAAGAATAAGTACCCTTTTTATATGGCTACTTTATATCTCGGCAACTTGGCAATACTTATGTACATAGTTATATATATAGTTTTAAGCATTTAACTACAAGATGTTTAAATCTAAAGAAAATTTTAGTAGAAAAAAATCCTAAAAGATCTAAATACTTATATAGTTTTTACTGGAATACATTAATATGTAATTGCACTGCACTTTCTGTTTCAGACTAGGTACCTATTACGTAATAAGACCCACATTGCATTTACTGCAGAGATGCAATGTATTTGATGCTGATGTCAAACAAATGACTCAAGAACTGTTTGTTTAAAGAAATACTAAAATTCCTTACAAGGATTCAAACCTAGGCCTTTTGAGGCAGAAGGCAGGAATGCTGCAATTAACCATCATCCGGTACACTTAATTATTCATTCTAATGTCAATGTTGTGTGCATCAGACCATATAAAATTGCCTGTAATTGTACTGATTGAATGTAAATGTATGCATTAGCTAGGTAACAATCGGAATTTAAATGCTATAAATAAATTAATGATGTTCCAGTTTGTAATCTAGTTTCAGAGTTCATACTTATATTTTCAGCATTAAAGTGATAAAATTAAATCAAACTAGTTTTAACGGGTTAGATGTTTGGAATTTATTTATTTATTGACGTTTCGCATCCTTTGAAGGAATGCGTCGTTAGTCAGTCAGTCAGTGTCTGATCAAAATAATTAAAAACAGCCCCAAAGTAAGCACTGTAAGGCTTGTGTTATGGGAAAAATAATTATGGAAACTTATATGCGGTGGATAGTGAAATCGCCCGGATAGCTTAAGGCTCTGAGAATAAAGTACGAATTTTGACAGTTCCGTAATCGTATCGACGGCGCGGCGGATGAGTATAATGCGATTCAACTAAGAATAGGACCGCCTGGGCGCCATATTTTGTCGTTATAGCTGTCAATTCAAACCAAATGGGTAGAGTGAGCAAAAAAATGTTGCTATTTAATAAAACTTATTTACTACGATTATGTGAGACAAAACATCAGATTTTTTAATAAAATTAATTTACTGAGGTTGAGAAAGAACACAACCAATTTTTAATAGTATATCTTGATTAAGACTGTGTGAAAAAAAACATTAATCAGAATCTACGTCTTCAATTTTGCTCATCTCTGCATTACCGCCGGAGAAGTTATGAATAATCATGCAGGTCACATACGGACATGCATCCTATATGTAAACGAAAGTTTTAAATTGAGTTTCTGAACGCAACATAAAGTGACATTATTGACGATTTAGGTTAGCAACCATTCATAGCCAAAGCTCACTACAGAGCAGAACAGCAAAACTGGGGCGCAACTCTACTAATACACACATCAAAGAAATCTAATCATTTACGCAAACTGTAAGTTTTATTAGTTGATAATTTACATCATCGTTATCTATACATATAATAAAATACATATAGGCTACATATTATCACGCTGTCACCTACGGGGAACGAGCAGTGAACCTTTATTTCTAACTAATTCTACGCGTACGAAGTCGCGGGCGGCGCTAGTACATATTATGTATAATTTGATATATCTGTATAATTTGAAAGCAAAAAACACTTGTATATGTGTTTTTGCTTTAGTCACTAATAAATCAGACTGGTTATTTTAGTAACAAAAAATACGTGTGGCACTCGGAGACTGCCGCGGTAAAGCTATTGCATAGCATTTTTTATTCAACTTATGCAATTATAATTATTTATTTACTTTATTTATGCAGCAAAATATGTTTAAAAAATGGAAAAAAATAATAATAAAAGAAACGAGTGCGGGATTTGAACCGACGACCGTGGTGATGCGTCGAACGTTGGTCCCGTGGCAAAAACTTAACACATTGCGCCGTTTAGATCGATACTGGAAGGGCAAAAATTGGTATCATATGCACTCTTGTCAGCTTATTTTCGTTACGGAATTTCTTGATTCGGTCGCCGCGCTCAAAGCCCGCGATAAAAGCTATACAATAGCTTAAAAATATGAGTATTAAAAATCTATCCAAAGTTATAAAAAGTTCAACTTTTTGATGAGTATTATAATATTGTACTCACCCTTCTCACCGCCGTACTTCATGATTTTGGGGCACATGACTTGCTTCAGGTTGCTGACCAGATTCTTGTGGGTCAGCATGACGCCCTTGGGCATCCCCGTGGTGCCACTGGAGTATGGTATCAGACAGACATCGTCGGCATTCACGGTAGGCAGGTCGGCCTTGTGATCCGCCATCACGAGAGAACGCAGGCCAAAGATACCTGGAAACATCATCAGTATCATCAGCCTATTAATGTCCCACCGCTGGGGCATAGGCCTTCCTTATGGATGGAATACGGAGTTTGGGACATGACCCACCATGCAGGCCTAGTGCGGACTGCAGATGCAGCCGGGACCAACGGCTTAACGTGCGTTCTGCAGCACGCAGGAGCTCGAGCTAGTAAATTTTTGGTCACCCATCCAATGACCGAGCACTGCGAAAGTTGCTTAACTTCAACGATCGCAGCTGAACGCGCTAACCACTTGCACCATCGAGCTCCTCCCAGGAATAAACGATGGTTATTTATTAATCTGTTATGTAAAGGCAGAAAAAAATCTGATCATTAATTTGTAATTTTTTAAGCATGTGCTAGATGTTTAAATCTAAAGAAAAAATTACTAGATTACACGCGGAACATGCAGGAATTTTCTTTAGATTTAAACATCTAGCAGTTACATGCTTAAAGAATTACAAATATAACTAAGTATAAGTGCTATTTCTTCTTTCAAATGTTTAATACTTGTAAAGGTATTCATTTGACATTGTGGGTTACCTACAATGCGAAGAGATGGCGCGCCGCTTTGCAGCTTAAGAAAGGCTAGAGAAAACGTCAGGGCCGCAGTAGCATAATGGTCAGTGCATTCGCCCGGATAGCGAAGGGTGCGGGTTCGAGTCCCGTCTGCTGCCTGGCCCGCGTGGATTTTTTTCTAGCAAAATTTTTCTATAGAGAAAAAATCTGGCTGATTTAAAAATTGATTATTTTATTAAAGTGGTTAGTTTAAAGTGTAAGGACAGAGCATTTATCCATACACGTATACGTCTGGTCTTTTCTATTTGGTGATTTTCTCTACGTTAAAATAATAATTTAGTGATTAGATAATAAAATGGTTAAGGTTTCTGAGTTGGCTTTTCAATGTCAAGAGGCTTAAGTCCCCAGACCTAAACGAGAGGCCAAATTTCCAGTAGGTCTATTGTCTCAGACAAAATGTTAATTTTTTGTTGTGTAAAAAGACGCAGAATTGACAATAAATTGAGAAACATGGTTGGAATGTTCGCATTTTTTAACCTTGATCCTATAGTTTTAACTCTTGTACCAAACAAGCAAGGTAAGCTTCATTCCGTGTTCAAGTAGGAGCCACAGTAGAAGTCATGCTCAGTAGGTAGACATGGGTAACAAATTACTGTACCCTTAGCACGAACCAATATCGAATTCGTATCGTTTGCGAGTGCGAAATGTCATTCTTCTTACGTTCTCGTTACGTACTTAGAGGCGCTGCTGTTCAAGTTTCCATACAACATTTGACAATTACATTTCGGACTCTCAACCTATTCTAATTCGATAATGGTTCGTGCTAGGGGTAATACAACACCAGAGGCACCGCTTTGACGGCTCCGTACGTTATCGCAGTATCAAAGATTCTCTGAAAACTAAGCAACGCCATCTAACGGACGTAAGGACGAACTAGCTTTTCTATACAAAATATTTTATTTTATTTATTTAATTCTAGACCAAAATCCACAGCATTTTTTTAATTTAATGCAGGTTTTACAATATTATCTTAATGCCAAGTACGGATTTTCATTTTTTAGTTATAACTTATTAGTTTAGAAAACCCTCCACCAAACAAGTGCGAGATGTGTGCAATGCGCGCGCGCCATTGTATATGTGTGTGTGTGTGTGTGTGTGTGTGTGTATGTGTGTATGTATGTGTATGTTTGTGTGTATATATGTATGCATGTGTAAGTGTTTCATTTTTGTTTGTATATTACCAATCAACCAACAGCCCTAAAAGTTGTTTTTTAAAAGATGCTTTACTTTTGCAATTAAATATGTCAACAGCAAATATGACAATGAGAATACGTTACGGGCGTCAAAAATTCGTGCTGGGGCCTCTGGACAGATGCCACAAGTTTTGCTTACCTTTAGTTTTGTCATCGTCGCCACCAACCCAGATGGTGCCCTTGTAGTCCTTGAGGGCCTTGCTGACCTCCTGCGCCACCGGCATGAACATCTCGATGGTCGCAATCGCCTTCACGTGGCAGTCCGAGAATTGGCGCTTCATTTCATCTACCGACAAACAACATGAAGATCATCAGATTAGTTAAGCACAAGGAAATCTATCGTAGATAGATTCTATCAAAGCTTTATCTCATCAGATGCCGACAATCAAAATGAAGGTTTAATAGGTTAGCCACTTCATCGTCACCGGCAAAGAGAGGACATATCCTGAAGTTTTAGTGGGTCGGGCCCCTCATCCCGATCAGCCATTGAGCAAGCCTTAGGATTAGCTGAATGGGTGCTGGGAGGTGGAAGGAATAACCTCGTTGCCTAACCCAGCGGAGGAGTATAAATAACGCATTTCTCCAGGTTAGAAAAGGAAAGCTATCAATATACTATGCTCGGCCGATGATACCCAAGCATAGCTCAGCCGATTACGTATTAGGTGTATATATCAGGGCTTGTAACCGGTTTCGAAAATACCGGTAAATAAAGGTTAATACCGGTTTTTAGTAAAGGTTTCGTTCGGAGCGCGTCCGAAATGAAAGCGGTACCTAAAACCTTAATAAATCGGCTTAAACCACAGCGTCACGTGCACGCATCGGCATCGCCTGAAGTCAATTGTTTGAACTAATCAAGTCACAACTTGTTAATGCTCAGAGATTGATGCATTTATTGACACGTTTGCTAGCTTCTAGTGAGTCAAGTTATTCATTTTGCAGTTGTGTACTGATAGACTACTTCACACACTCGCTCTGTAGTTGGAAAGAAACTGACATAAAATAATTATAAATTTGAATTAAAACGGCGAAGGCGATGCCGTCAGTAAGAGCGAAATGTAACCCTTTAAAAACCACTAAATTGATTCAAAACCTATTTGATTTCGCATTTTAGGAAAACCGGTTTTTAAGGTTAAGGTAGAGCCAAACCTAAATAAAGTGCTCCTAATGTACTTGATACTGATTTAGGTTTTGAAAATTAACCGGTAAACAAGCCATGGTATATATAAGGTTCTTAAGGAAGAAATATGAAGAAAGTTGTGCCTCTGCACAATTAACTTCTTTAAGTTAATTTTTTTTAGAAAACAATTCCACATGGTGCTTTCAGCAGACGGTACTCGAACCGCACCTTCCGCTATTCGGGCAGATGCACCGACCGCTTCGGCTACCGTAATGATCGTGTCAAATATCTTCTTGTATTTCTTAGGCTGCAATATCTCAACATGGTGATAAGTGCTAGTTCAAGGAGTTTCAACATAGTTATCACTATGATACTAGAGACTAGTGATAGACAAAGCGTTATCTTAAGAGCAACGATCACTATGAGTAGGGTTGCCAACCCTATTATATAATATGAGGAGCTGGTGACCAAACCGTATTATTACATAAAATTTAAATTTACCGGAGCTGCTGTGTTAAAAACCATGTCAAAAGCTCACTGTACAAACCTACAGTGAGCTTTTGACATGGTTTTTAATTTATAAATTTAGTAATTTTAACACTTTTAGGCGGGTTTGATTGAAAATTATTTGAGATTCAAATTCAACGGGCCCGAAACCTCCGGACTGTAAAAAAAATAGTTTGACCAGATGCGTAATTATACCGTTTTGTTCGCCAGCTCCTCATATAGTATCATACCATATTAGGGCATCAAATACTATATTTCAAAAAAAATATAGTAGACGAAACTGCTATATTTCGCTTAAAGCAGATTTTCGGCAGTAAAAATAAAAAAAATATATATTATTAAGGCATAGAGCAGCAAAAATATATTCATTTCAGAAATAAAGTAAATATTTTAACCGCGTTGGTGCTGTATTTTTTCCATTGTGTTGCCAGTTACTCTATTTTTAGAGGTAAAAGCTTCGAAAATACTATATTTGATAGAAAAAAATTTGGTAACCCTAACTATGAGTAGTGTTATCAGTCAAGTTGACCTCGATCCGATGCGTTCGTTTACTTACTTATTTTACGATAGTAATTAAGGATATATCTCTAATATATAAAATTCTCGTGTCGCGGTGTTTGTGGTTAAACTCCTCCGAAACGGCTTTCCCGATTCTCATGAAATTTTGTGTGCATATTGGGTAGGTCTGAGAATCGGACAACATCTATTTTTCATCCCCCTAAATGTTAAAGGTAATCCACCCCTAAATTTTTTTTTTCAATTTTAGATATATTTTTTTATTTTTATATGATACAGCATTAGTAAATACATATAACCCTGAATTTTCAACCCTTTACAATCAACCCCTATTTTTTATGGCGGTACGAAGTTCGCTGGGACAGCTAGTTCATATATGACATGATCCATTCAACGGTTCTAAAATAAATAGTTACTGTAACGCCCGTTGCATTATGGCCTCTTAGTTTGTGCAAACTCCTTGCTCATGTAATGCCTACGGCTGGCAGTTACCTATATTAAAAAGAAAACGTCATTATTTTAAAGATTTTAAATTGAGAATCTTTTGTCTTTTATGGAAGATTCCAAGAGATAGAATTCAGGCACAAAAGCGAAGAGTTGATAGTACGGATTTCTTGTAATTCGCTCACGTTTTGAAATAAAACAATTAATTAGAACTCGTGCTTATTACTCAGAATTGAACAACGCTGCGCTCCCAGGGCTTCCCTTCAGGTTAAGCCCTACAGTACTTATGTTGTTCCATTGTATAAACAGTGTGGCTAAAAAGCAATAAATAAACTATCATCATCATGTCGCCACTGCTGGGGGGACCTTTCACAGGCCTTCCCTATGGATGGAATAGGGAGACTGGGCCGTAACCGGAGGAGCTCGAGATAGTAAATTTTTGGTCACCCATCCAATGACCGACCACTGCGAAAGTTGCTTAACTTCAACGATCGCAGCAGAACGCGCTAACCACTTGCGCCATCGAGCTTCAATAAACTATACCTATAAGGTAAATGTGGAAAATAGATAACCTATAATCTGTGGTTTTTATTAATTGGATTACCGTGTAGATATTTTAAGTAGACAATAATATTTTTAAATTTTAATTCCAATTAATTTACCGACAAGTACGTATTTAATTACTTACTTATTTCTGCATTCAAATACGGCTGCGTGGCCTTTTTAATTTGCACCGAGGTACAAAGGAAGCTATTATTTAAATCCAGTGTTATTGTTCATAAATATTTCTTTCTCAAAACTGTTTCGATGGTTCAGGGTAAAAATTAGGTAACGAATATAATAAAACTAGCAAACCAGTGAACCAAATGTTCACCAATTAAAAAAAATGTATTTAATTAATTGAGAACTTCGGAGATTTTGTGTGGTTTCGTTTGAAATTCGTGATTTCTCGAAAACCGGAAGTGCTACGTTACTCAAATCCGGTTTGTAGTCTTATCAGACTATTCTTAACTTATAACTTAAACATTATCTTTATCTATCTCTTACGGTTTGGCCGCTGAAACAGCACTACAGACAGACGGACGGACGGACGGACTTGTCTAATAGATAAGAGATTAGTAACCTAACCGCTCCAAGTCTCTTCTCTAACCCATAAAATGTGATTGTCGATAACTACAGATTAAACGGACTTGTTAATACGGCCATGACACAAAGGATATCCCGCTCTGGGTAAATATAAAATAGACAGGTGCACGCCATCTATATACGTTGCAGGGTCGGTAAATGTATGATCAAAGTTGTTACGCTAAAGCTATGACTATGAGTCATTACTTGATTCACTGTTACTGCGCTATTGCGCTCACCACGATATGAGATTTAACACGTTTTTATCATGTTCAATTGTCAAATCCAGTATCTTCGGATCCTTGCCTAAAGGGACTCCTTTTAATAATATATTTTAGTTATTAAATTTATTTTTTAAGGTTTTAAGTTTTAGTTTTATTGTTCTAGTATTTATATATAGAGTAATTATGTAATTAGATAGAGACTTATTTGTGTACTTATGACATTTCAATATTCTCATTAAATATTAAATTACATTATAATATTTGAAAATTCCGTTACTTATCATAATGAATTATTAAATTACTATGAATTTGGTCCCGATAAAAGACATGATATAATGTAAACTGTGGAGCTCGTGCTACGGGCACAGGAAAGGATAAAAATAACACTTTATTCTTCCCGTAGCATGAGCAGCACAAGTTTCATCACATTGTTTTTTCGCCTTTAATTGTCAAACTTCAAAGTAATTGGACAGTTAAGTGTGATAAAAACGAACTATATATATCGCGATGCTCATAAGAAAAGACCATATTTTTTTCTATCAAATATAGTATTTTCGATAAAACTATAAAAAAATCCTAAAACTCTACTGCAGCGCCACCTTTCTGAGATAGTTATAAGTCAAGCAGTTTTAATAGAATTTTCTAACTTTCCGCGCAACTTTCTTAGTTGATTTCGCCCGTAAAAACTTTATATCTAGTGAATAAAACTAAAACACTCTTGTCCCCCTAGCATGAGCACGATATATATAGCGCGTCTTTATCACGCTGAACTGTCAAATTACTATGGAGTTTGACATTTAGGCGCGATAAAAAACGTGATATACTGTAAAATGGGGTGCTCATGCTACGGGGTCTGGAATGGAAACGGTTAAGTGGTTCTCAAGTTATGGCGTGTTCAAGGGGAAATATCTCTTTTATTTTGTTAATGGCAATGAAAATCTACAATTGGAAATCCCTAAAAAATATTTGGGCATCGATTCAACAATGTCAAAGTCTTGATCTTTAGTTGGCAACGTGTACTTAACTTCCGTATTACGAAATGACCATTGAAAGAAGTTCCTAATGTATTTCGGTCCGACAGAGATTCCAGTAGGTAAACAACTACCTAGGTATATTCATTGACCTATATCAACATTACATAACATTTAATGAGTAATGAGTGTTATTATTCAAATGAAGATTTGTTTTAGGAATCTGCATCATGCTTCCGCCATGCCTTCATTACTTAATAAGTATAGGTGATATAAATCAATTGTTTTTGGAACTCTCATACGGATCTCCGAATTACTGTTATTCCATGAAATTACACTTCACTCAACTGACAGAGCATTTTTTTAAACGCTCACGCCTAGCCCCAAGGTAAGCACTGTAAGGCTTGTGTTATGGGATACTTGAGTAACGGATAGAATAAATATATTTGATACATATTATGTAAGTATATTTGACGACCTCCCTGGCCGAGTGGTTTATACGCCGGGTTTCATAGTGTCGCCGTCTCGAGAGGTCCCGGGTTCGAATCCCGGTGGGGGCAGATGGTTGTGTGATGAATACGAGCATTTGTACTCCAGTCATGGATGTTTACATATGTATTTCTATATAAATATACTTACATATGTACAGTGTATATATTTCTGTCCGTTACCCTACTTTGGGGTTAGGCTAATTGGTGTGAGTGTTGGAAATATTTATTATTATATTTATATAGAAATATAGATATATTAAACATCCAAGACTAAGGTACAAATTCTCGTATTCATCAAACTAACATTTGCCCCCACCGAGATTCGAAACCGAGACCATACGAGTAGGCGACACCTTTATCCGTAGTACTAAGGGTACTGATTTTATTGTTTTCGTTTCAATACAAATAACCAGTGTTTAAATTCTATCATTAAATCATTTGCGTCTTCTTAAATTTTAAGAATATTTGGTTACTTTTCACCAGAATGGACATACAAATATAATTTACAAATACGAAAACTATGATAGTTTTCGTGAGCGCAAACTCGTAATAAGTGTACTTGTAACCACATTTTTTAGTATTTACCTCACTCGGGCACGGAGGCCGTCAATTCTCATATAGGTAACTAAAATTTGTAAAGCTGGCTCGACCAACACCCCTCTCCATCGAAACTTATATAATACGTGTAGAATTTCTTTCTTCACATTGTAGGCAGGGGCAACTATGGAGCAAAAGGAATGGTTTTGCGTGGGAGCAACTCGTAGATTTATTATAAAAGCCTTTTCGAGTATAAAATAAATATTAGGTAGGCTGCTGTTAGTAAAACTATACGATACGAACTATACGAACGTGAAAATCTGCTTCAGGAAAGAACGAATATTATTGGCAATGGGGCGTTTCCTGGTTACAAATAACTATTACTATTTTTATAACCTACGTTTTTGTTTATTCAAGCAGTAGCTCAAATAAAAATAATGATAAAACAACATTGTAATTTCTGCTTTCGAATATTTTCTACTTGTAATAGTATCCCGATTGTCTATCAGTTGCCCTAATTAACGGATATTTATCATATTTCAAAAGTGTGTAAGTAGACTCAACTACTGGACATTATATGTTATATTTTTTAAGCATGTAACTGCTTGATGTTTAAATCTAAATAAAATATAACTAGAAAAATTCCACGCGGACCAAGCAGCAGACGGGACTCGAACCCACACCCTTCGCTATTCCTATTGCATTGCTATTTCTTCATTCAAATGTTGAATACTTGTAAAAGTATTCAATTGACATTGTGGGTTACCTATAATGCGAAGAGATGGCGCTGCCTTGCAGCTCAAGAATGGCTAGAAGAATTTCGACGCGGCCGTCAGGGCCGCGGTAGCATAATTGGTCAGTGCATTCGCCCGGATGGCGAAGGGTGCGGGTTCGAGTCTCGTCTCCTGCCTGGCTGAATTTTTTCTAGTTATATTTTACTCCACGCGTACGAAGTCGCGGGGGGCCGCTAGTAAATAAAACAATTAGTTTCTTAAGCGGTGATCTAAAGCAATTGTCATCTCATCAGACGTCAAATGGCCGGGTATAATACAGAAATATCCTTTCTGTTACACTCTGCCCCTTGTTACTCTGTCCCTTGCTTGAGCCTGGACCTTTGACCGGGGCAAGGAACTTATATTCTATGAAGTTCCTTGGACCGGGGTTTGATTTGACCGATTCAACTTCAATTCTTACACCATCTTACTCTTATCCTATATGCATTTAATTGATTTTCTATTTCGTTCCTCACTTCCTCCTTTCGCTCGCCACTCTTAAGAAACCGTCCTCTTCTCTTCCTCCATTTCCCATCCATACGACCTTCCTGGCTGCATCTCGACGCAACCTCAGATTCTTATGGGCCTATTCTACCATCCATCGAATTCTCTTCATCACAACACAACACAACCCGTCATCAACTTTTAATGTAATTCACAAATAAGCGAATAAAAAAAATACTTTTTTGTTTAAATATTATTTTCCATTAGTAATAAAAACTAATAAAGGACGGGTTGAATAAAAAGTCGAACCTTTGATACAGACCGACAAATTATCACTATTAATCCAGTAATAAAATAACTTAAGTTTTTTTTTATTATTATAATATGATGTAATGGCAGGAATAGATATGTAATTGGACTTTAATATCCACCATAGATCATATCGCAAACTTTTCCTATCCCCGACACAATCTTTATCAGTTATTTTTTTGAAAGCGGATATATTCATAACAAATAGTATCTCGCAATATGTAAGTATCTGTGCTGAATCATAGTTACATCCGTATATTGATTAGGTTGTAATAAACAATGGCAATAAAAATGCATACCTATATATATACTATAGATAGTACTAGTCTAATCACATTATTTTATTGTTTTAATACCAGCAGCTTGTTTTTGTTTAACTGATTCTATGTGCATTGTAAACTGACACCATGTAGCGAGACCAATCGTTTATCTATGACTGACACATTGTTGCAGATGATTAAACCGCTTTTAATTTATAAGACAACGGGCATTTATAGCTTTGTGTTGTATCAAGTAAATAAAGGGTAACAAATCTATTTCCTATATATATCCTCCATGCTGGACTAGTTGCGAAATAAATTCTAAGACGACACAAATATCTATTAACAGACTTTTTTAACCTATGATACGCATTATCTAATGTTTCGCTGCAAAGGATACGGTTACAGAAAGGCTACAAAAATGTATAATTTTTAGCTGTGAAAAATGGCATCAGCGTCCTACCCTCATAATGTGTATAGTTTATAACACTTTAATACAAATTATGTGCATACATACACGCCTGTAAATCTATTCACATAGCATAGTATGAAAGGTGTGAAACACTTCCGATTGTTGGCTTAAATATTAAATTCCCAATATAGGTGTTTACTATTTGCATTGGAATAATAACAGCTGGCCCATTCTTTCTACCCACAATCCATAGAAATCTCAATCAATCAATCAATCATTTATTTATTTTTCTCTCACATGAAAAAAGTGCATTGTGGTATACCCCTTGTGGTTTACAATATGTTATAGTACTGTGAGAGACTGGTGCCTGAATTAGTTTTCAGTGAAAAATGTGACACAGATCACCAAGACCCTCCCGCTGACTACATACATCATAAAATGGTTGCCTGTAAAGTCGGTTTTACGGGCGAAGATTTTACGTGACAACGTCTTTTTCTCGGTAGAATATTTATTGATATGAATATAATTAAATTGCACAATAGGAACAAGGAATTGAATGAAAATAAGAATTGCACAAATTTTAACTATAGAAATATATTTTGTTTACTAAAACATTGTACATGTAAACTTAAACTTAACACGAGAGACTCATCGTAACGTTACCGAGCGTTACACTTTTTCATAAGTGACTCCCAGCCGCAACCTAATTTAAGACGTTGTCACGTCAAAACAGGGTATAACGTGACGTGGGGCTTAGGTAATATTAGTTATATATAATGCGATTCAAATAAGAATAGGAAAGCCAACCTCCATCTGTCAAATGTCGCTTGAAAAGTACGGCTTCCAAAAAAATCTAGGAACCCTCTTTTGGCACTCAGCTAATTATGGAATAAAAACCAAACATTTGTAAACAAACAATAACAAATATTGTTAATTAATATTGGTTGATATTTTATTTTCATTTATTGAGCTTTGGCTATGAATGTTTGATAACCTAAATCGTCAACCAAATGTCACTTTAAGTTGCGTTCAGAAACTCGATTCAAAACTTTGGTTTACATATAGAATGCATGTACGTGTGACCTAGTAATAGTGCATGATTATTCATAACTACTCCGGCGATAATGCAGAGATGAGCGGAATTGAAGAGCTTAATTCTGATTAATGTATTTTCTCGCACAGTCTTAATAAATAAATATTACTAAAAATCGGTTATTTTCTTTTCTCAATTTTAGTAAATAAATTTTATTAAAAATCGGATGTTTTTTCTCACTTAATCTTAGTAAATAACTCTTATTAAATAAAAACTTTTTTGCTCACTCTACCTTTTTCGTTTGAATTGACAGCTATGACGTCTCAATATGGCGCCCCGTCGATCCTATTCTTAGTTGAATCGCATTATATTTTAAAAACTTTATGCTAATTTTATCTAAGGTTGAAATGTGTGTCTAGGTGTGTCAAGGTGTGCCTAGGTATTCAATAGTATATTTAATCACCTGCCGTGTACAAGGGGTTAGCGAATGTGACGACGAGTCCAGCCCGCATGGCGCCGTGTATGAGCACCGCGAACTCGGGGAGGTTGGGCAGTATGAGACCGATGCGGTCGCCCGGTTGCAGAGACAACGCAGCTATAAGGCCTGACGCGCATCGGTCTATCATCATCCGCATCATGCCGTAGTCGTACGAGCGCCCGCTGATACCGCATGTCTGTAAATAAAGTGGGAAGTTATTGAGATGTTTGGTTGTGGCTGTATGTTATGGTAGCCCAGTGCCTTAGGCAACGCGCCGATTTACAGACAGCTCGGGTACCCAAAGCCTCAGATTATAAAAAAAAACCTTTAATTCTGTAATCTGAGCCCGAGGCTAACAAAATTCAAATGACTTTCAGCTATAGCTCAAAGCAGCGTTGCTTACGGCAATTACCATAATATACGGCAATTTGAGCTCATAATTTCAGATTATACGGCACACGGAAGGTTTGTCATTGCCGTATAATAATACTAACTACCAATAAATTTTAATAAATAAAATTAGGTAATACGGCAAAATCATGTTTTTTATTTAAAAATACGGCAATCTGATGTATCGAATACGGCAACTCTTTCAAACATGGTGGCAACCCTGGCTCAAAGTTACCTGCGGTGAGGGGACCTGCCCTCGTATACATACACACAAGGGCAGGTCTAAAAGTTCGTGAAATTTGGATTTTGAGAATGTTTTACCTAGTTTGTGATAAAGTGATGTGAGGCTGTCTGTATCTGTCCTGTATTACTTTATCATCATGTCGAAAGAGCACCCAGTGATGCAGCATGACCGGAGAAAATATCAGCTGATGATTTCAAAATGAAATAAAGATATGGATGAAATGATAGTTGATTGATGGCTTATTTTTGAGTATTTTTGTTTGTCTTAAAAAGACATCAACGCGTTTTAAAAAACGGAAGTAAATGTTATAAAATTAAATCTTTTTTTTTTTGTTATTTATACTTTTGTTTTCTTTATTGCACGAAATATTATACGCAGCATAGTGCGGGTTAACATTAAAATCTATGATAGTTAAGCATGAGCTGCCTATAGGAGCGGTACTTTAATAAAATTGTATATTCTTCCTATAAATAAAATATGTGTAACAAAATAAAAAGTAATATTCTCTCTCACAATGAAAAAAATACTAGCCAAGTGCGAGTTGTAAAGGCAAAGGTTAATTAAGTTTACATATTAAGACCTCTAGAAGCAGTAGCCTGGTTGTTACTCCAGTAGACCGAACTACTGAAACTTTTCAGTTAACCCAATGCCAATAAGTTTATAATGGAATAGTTGCCATAGCAATATGTTCGGGCAGTTTTTTTTACGAAACCGAGTCCACCAAGGCCTCATTTAAGTAACACTATCTTTGGGAAATGTCGTGTTTATGTCCGTGCGTAAGTTTGTGGGTTCCATTGTGTAGGGAATGGAGTAAGTTTTGGCATCGCCCAAGACCGCGCTAATGATAGGTCCTTCTACATAGCAAGAGTTACATCATCATCATCATCAGCCTATTAATGACGCCACTGCTGGGGCACAGGCCTTCCTATGGATGGAATAGGGAGATTGGGCCATGACCCACCACGCGGGCCCAGTGTGGATTGGCGGGTGCTAACGACTGCAGATGCAGCCAGGACCAACGGCTTAACGTGCCTTTCGAAGCACGGAGGAACTAGAAGTAGAAAATTTTTGGTCAGCCATCCAATGACCGACCACTGTGAAAGTTGCTTAACTTCAACGATCGCAGCCGAACGCGCTAACCAACCGCGCTATCGAGCTCCTCAGCGAGTGTTTATAGGTTGTCTATATTATTATTTTCTTCAGGTAAAGTTTATTTATTAATTTATTTGATGAGGAACACATACAGCAATACATATCAAATATTACAAAATTATTAATAACATAAATACAATTACTATATGCTTGCCACTTACGAGAGTACACAGCATTCAATATAAAAATGACAGTATTTTTAACTACATTATAAAAACAAAACAATTAAATAATCGAATTAGAGAAATTAAATAGGTATATAAGTTACATAATTTAGAAAATAATGTATTTAAATATTCTTGTTTATTTACTATGTTTAACCTTTACAGGTGTATGTTGTTGTCTGGATTGGACTAAGGCATTGTACTTTGGACCTGTCATTCATTTCTTATCGACGCCGCCAAGCGACTACGGCGGTCACTGATAAAACAGCAAAACACTGAAGACCTTTTTTTAGAACTTTTTTTATCTGCTAGTATCAACTTGCCTCGGTAAAACAGCGTAACGCTTTGACGTTGAACCAATTTTAATGAATTTTGGTATAAAAGATAGAGCTAACCACAGAACACAGAAACACTGTGTTCTGTGGGGAGGATCTTGTAGTGTAAAGAGAGCAAAGTTAACTTTTAGTCACGAAAATGCAAAAGGTAAGGGTGCAAATAGGGGATGAAAATTTTGTATGGAATTTAGATTAGTATAGCAATAAAGATCATTGTTCAAGGGATGGCAATTCTCTCCGCAAAAGATCGACTTTTAAATCGATTCGAATCCTGACCTAATGAATCAAACAAAAAAATCGAGTCCAATAATCGATATCTGAAAAATCGATCTTTTTTTCAAGTTTTTGTTTATAATGTAATATAAATCTATTTTATTAAAAACAAGATACATATTATAATTTAACGATCTCTGATCAGTAAAATCAGGTTATTCGATGATAATAAATATTATTATTCAAAGATTACAAACAAACGTAACTTTTTTTATTAATGAGGGGCGAAGGAATCCAAACAGACAACCATCTCGCGACTTTTTTTAATAATTAACACTTTAACCGGCAGCACTCTGATAACGGGTACATTCAAATAAATGTAAATACTTTTTTGGTTTATACCAAAAAAATAAAATGAAATCGAATGTCGATTTTCAAGGGTGAAATATCGATTCACTGCTTCGATTCAGTACTATATATCGATTTATAAATTCATTTTTTTGGCTCCAGTAATCGATTCTTCGATTAATCGATCCCAGATCGCCATCACTACATTGTCCCACAACAGTACCCCAGTTATATCAGTCATAGTTTCGGCCCCTAATACACTGTCTAGAAAAATATACTGAAACAGGTGGAATGTTCATGGCACACAAAACACAATTTGCTTTGTGAAAATACATGTTATTTCCAGTCTTCGATTAATAGTACAAGTGGTATTGTGTATTATAGTTACCAGTCCAATTAAGTTCTTTTTCTGTTGACAAATTTTATCGGTCCATACGCAAAGCAATACATGGTCGGAGGTCAAGCAAGCTCGTATCTTTGTTTTGTTTATAATTTCTAGAGGCCTGCGTTCGTGGGCATGTCTTTAACCCTCACTCACATTCACTCCAGACATAATACTCTTGTTATAGTAATAATACTGTTATTATCGCGACATACCTATTTACATCTTATACATACAACTTTTTAGGGTTCCGTACCTAAAAAGGGAAAAAATCTAACCTTATAGGAACACTTTGTTATCCGTCCGTCTGTCTGTCAGCCTGTCTGTCAAGACTAGGGTTGCCAACCCTACTATATAATATAGTATCCTACTATATGAGGGGAACTACTTACTATATTTTCCGTAAAGAGGATATTTGTCAGTAAAAGCTTTCTTAAAAATAAAAATTTAATTAGTAAAGCGCAGCGTTGTAAAATATTTATTTAGAAATAAATTAAATATTTAAACCACATGCCTACTATATTTTTTTGCCGTCTACTATATTTTTAGAGGTAACAGCTTCGAAAATACTATATTTGATAGACAACAAGTTGATAACCTTAGTCAAGACCCTTTATCTCGGTAACGCGTGAAGGTATCAAGTAAACAAATTAAACCATACTAGCAAACCAGTGAACCAAATGTTCACCAAAAAACAAAAAAAAAATGTATTTAATTAATTGAGAACTTCGGAGATTTTGTGTGGTTTCGTTTGAAATAGAAATCACGTGATTTCTCGAAAACCGGAAGTGCTACGTTACTCACATCCGGTTTGTAGTCTTATAAGACTATTCTCAACTTATAACTTAAACATTCTCTTTATCTATCTCTTACGGTTTGGCCGCTGAAACAGCACCACGGACGGACGGACGGACGGACGGACTTGTCTAATAGATAAGAGATACTTAGGTCTACGATACCTTGAAGCTGTGAAAAAATCTAACTTCTACGTTAAAATAAAGAAAATATGTATGAGGCCGTTTATGTTGCGTACCTAAAGGACGGAACGGAACCCTCAGTGGGCGAGACCGAAACCCACTTGTCCGGTTTTTTTTTCATGCTGGCAAAGTTCACAGTTGCACTTCTTTAACTTCCCATAGGTACAATTTTATAGCACTTACCAAAATAATTTAAAATGTTATTTAATTTATTAAATAAATATTTTTTTAAATTCTTTGTGGTTTTTAAAGTTCATCCGTCTCGCACTTGTCCGGTTTTTTTTTATTGGAGTTGGCAAAGTTCCACAGCTGCACTTCTTTAGCTTCCCACTTAGTAAATAATACCGGGAGTAGGTACAATTTTATATTACTTACCAAAATTATTAACTTTGTCATTTAATTTATTAAATATTTAAAAAATCTGATTAAAATTACTAGTCACGTAATCAGTTATGCAGAAGTATAGTTAAAGGTATATAATTAATCAACTAAATTCATAATCTGTGGCAACCCAAAGTTTACTCCTCTGTACTTTAATAAAATGTTATTATTTTTTAAAGCAAAAGAAATCATTAACTTCATATTACGTATTAAACCCACCACTTCTAGAATTTTTAGTTATCATAAAAATAGAACATCCATGCATGATTGTATGCGTTTTTCTATTTTATTTATTTGTATCACGATATAGTAACGTACCTACAACTACTACTCTTGATGAAAATTGGCTTTAATAACGAAACGGTCATAGTCCGAGATCCGAACTACAAAAAACGTTGGCACCACATTGCGACATTTTTCCTGAGTGGATACATTGTTGTTGACTGCATTTATTTGCATTGGTGGGCGTAATACAATCGTAATTATAAACAACAATCTGATGTGTTATACTCACTAGGACCGAGTATCTTGTGCTTACTATGTTGAGAAGATTATATTTATAAGATTCTATCGACACCCATGCTTTAAAACCTCTATTAAAGATTGAAAC